TTCAGTGACCATCGGTGTTCAGTGACCGCCGGTGTGCAGTGACCATCAGTGTTCAGTGACCATCAGTGTTCAGTGACCGCCGGTGTTCAGTGACCATCGGTGTTCAGTGACCATCGGTGTGCAGTGACCATCGGTGTTCAGTGACCATCGGTGTTCAGTGACCATCAGTGTTCAGTGACCGCCGGTGTGCAGTGACCATCGGTGTTCAGTGACCATCGGTGTGCAGTGACCATCGGTGTGCAGTGACCATCGGTGTTCAGTGACCATCAGTGTTCAGTGACCATCAGTGTTCAGTGACCGCCGGTGTGCAGTGACCATCGGTGTTCAGTGACCATCAGTGTTCAGTGACGGCCGGTGTGCAGTGACCATCGGTGTTCAGTGACCATCAGCGTTCAGTGACCACCGGTGTTCAGTGACCGCCGGTGTTCAGTGACCGCCGGTGTGCAGTGACCATCGGTGTTCAGTGACCATCGTGTGCAGTGACCATCGGTGTTCAGTGACCATCAGTGTTCAGTGACCGCCGGTGTGCAGTGACCATCGGTGTTCAGTGACCATCGGTGTTCAGTGACCGCCGGTGTTCAGTGACCGCCGGTGTGCAGTGACCATCAGTGTTCAGTGACCGCCGGTGTGCAGTGACCATCGGTGTTCAGTGACCATCAGTGTTCAGTGACGGCCGGTGTGCAGTGACCATCGGTGTTCAGTGACCATCAGCGTTCAGTGACCACCGGTGTTCAGTGACCGCCGGTGTTCAGTGACCGCCGGTGTGCAGTGACCATCGGTGTTCAGTGACCATCAGTGTTCAGTGACGGCCGGTGTGCAGTGACCATCGGTGTTCAGTGACGGCCGGTGTGCAGTGACCACCGGTGTTCAGTGACCATCGGTGTTCAGTGACCACCGGCGTGCAGTGACCGCCGGTGTGCAGTGACCGCCGGTGTTCAGTGACCGCCGGTGTGCAGTGACCATCAGTGTTCAGTGACCATCGGTGTGCAGTGACCATCAGTGTTCAGTGACCGCCGGTGTTCAGTGACCGCCGGTGTGCAGTGACCGCCGGTGTGCAGTGACCGCCGGTGTGCAGTGCACTCCACATTCTCACTCAGGGTGTCCACAAGCCGTCTGCTCAAACTTCATGGTTCACTTTGGTTTTAATGTGTTAAAAATATAATTATAGTCGTTCAGACCCATTACGGGTCACGATCCCACCAGGTTTGGTTCTAGTACGAGTGTTACGGCCCTTTCCACTCAGCACGGCTTCAGAGTCTTTCCACCGGGTGATCCGACCCAATTCCAGCTCGGTTCTTAGGACCCACTCTGCTGAGAATCCAAACGAGCCGAGTCGAGATGAAGACGTTAAGACTTCAGGTCGCCGACTGACCAGAGAGCGACGTCGACCATTAACACGTCTTCTTCACAAGAACCAAACCTACCATTTTTAAAACGCCTCAACCGCAGCACTTGTTTTTACTTTGAACGTTACAGACAGTAGTCTGTTGCTACTTCGCAGTTCGACTTTTACGGACTCGCTCTTTCGCAGTTTTTCAACGTAAAATTGTACACAACTGTCAACTGTATATTACTCACGTGATTGGGACGGAATGAGATAAAAAGACAACGAAAAAAATACTTTGGACAGGGGCCGCCATTTTGTAGTTTTCTTTCAATAAGCCTATACTGCAACGCCAGTCCTGGACGGGGCGGTGGGCCACTGCAGGGTAGGTCTGCACAACTGGAACAGAGCCCGACCGGAACGAAGCTGCTGGTCTGCAGAGCTGGCGAGTAAAATTTTGCAGTACCGTGCAGTACATACACACGTTGTTAAAATGACGTAGGTTTGAGTTTAGAACATTGCAAAAGTGTGGGAAGGATTTATAAAGCCTTAAAATATATATATAAATATTAAAATAAATATAGCGTTCCTACTTCGCAGTTTTTCACCTATTGCAGTGGTGTGTGGAACATAACCCCCGCGATAATCGAGGGACTACTGTATTTTCAATGAAATAAACCCACACCGGGCAGCACGGTGGTGCAACTGGTAGAGCTGCTGCCTCTCAGCGAGCAGGTCCCTGGTTCAAATCCCGGTCCGTCTGCCTTTCTGGGTGGAGTTTGCATGTTCTCTCCGTGCATGCGTGGGTTTTCTCCGGGTACTCCGGTTTCCTCCCACAGACCAAAAACATGCATGTTAGGCTGACTGGTAACTCTAAATTGTCCCTAGGTGTGAGTGAGAGAGTGAATGGTTGTTTGTCTCGTGTGGCCCTGTGATGGACTGGACAGCAGCTAACACCAACGCCCTCTACGAGAAATGGCAGAGTCGCCTTTTTCTTCTGAGGAGACTCAGGTCCTTTAACATCTGCAGGACCATGCTGCAGATGTTTTACCACTCGATGGTCTCCAGTGTCTTCTTCTACTCTGTGGAGTTCTGGGGCAGCAGGGTGAAGAAAGATAAACTCATGAAGAGAGCTGGTTCAGTTCTGGGAGTGGACCTGCAGTCTCTGACAGAGGATGCTGAACAACACGTCTCACCCCCTGCATGACACCTGGACTCTTACCTCAGCACCTTCAGTCGTAGACTGAGACCACCGAGGTGCTCCACAGACCGACACAAGTCCTTCCTCCCTGTGACGATCAAACTTTTCAGCTCCTCCCTCTTTCTACACACAGGACAATAAAATTAATCCTGCACCACAATAAACTCTTTAATGTTCCGTTAGAACTTAACTGTTGGTGTTTTTATCTCCGTTCGTTTCAGATCTTGTGATCTCGTGTCTGTTCCTTTGTACTGAAACTCTGGCACAACAATTTCCTGCAGGATCAATAGTTTTATCTTTCGAGCTCCGACTGGAGGAGTTTAAGTGGCCACGACTTGATGGCAACATTTTTTATAAACTGTGTTTGGCGACTTTGTGTCTCTTATTTGCTCGTTGCAGTTTAATTCTTGCGGTTTAGTTCTTGTCCGGGATAAAGACGCACATTTTCTTCAGTTTGATGCGACGTTCAAGTGAAAAACGGAAGGAGTGAACCATGAAGAGAAGTTTGCATTTCAGCCGGTTCACGACAGAATTGAGTTTTCTGCAGGAGAAATGAATTCGGTTATAACTCGTGGACACCCCGAGACGGAAAAAGACAAAACTTCACGGCTGCAGGACAGAAAGTGACAAAAGAAGCATTCCGGTTATTTAGAGGCTCGGCTCGGTGCTGGGAGGTGTTAGGGTGGTCAGACAGGAGTTAGAGGTGGAGGAGGAATGACTTACAAAACACAGTCGGAACAGAGAGGAGGAGGAAGACTCCTTAAGAATCTGAAGAGGAATGAGGAGGAGACGAGTTAGAGGAGACTGAAGCGATGAAGCTGATCTCAGGAGAGGATGAAGAAACACACTTCAGGTTTTAGACGTTCTTTAGAGTCAGTTACATTTACGAGTGCCGGATTGAAAACCAGGTTTTTGTCGGTCTGGAGTGACGTCATCAGGAAGTCCAGCCCTTTATTTAAACGGGATCCCCAATGACGTCAAACATTATACAAAGGGATTTCCCAGCAGAGAAAAACTGTCAACTTTACGGGAAATTAAAAAGGACTATAATGCAAAGGATTATTTCTGAAGACGTACCTGCTGGAAAACTGTAATTTAAAGGTAGATTAGGAAGATTATCTGCCATTTTAGTTACTGGGATTGATAAATGGCGTCTTTATGGACTTAAATTTACTGAAATTCATTCCAAGCTTGGCTCGTTCCACATCTGTGAAACTTAACGAGGTGGACTCTTTGCAGCTAAAAGGCTCCCACCAGGAGGAACAGGTCAGTGAACGCAGCGCAGAAATACAGAAGCTAAAATCAAACACGCTGCAGGTCACGGTTACAAGTGTCTCGGTTCTCACCGTCTCCCTGAACGTCTGAGGTCCATAGCGTCAAGTTGTCACGTAGCAACTGCATGATAAGTGTCGAGTCCTTGTAGCTTTCCTCGCTCAGAGTGTCCAGTTCTGCGATGGCGTTGTCGAACGCTTCCTTCGCCAGCCTGTCGCACACGAGAGAGACTGTGAGCGCCGCTGCTTCTGAGAATTCGTTGGCTCAGAGATACGACTGAAGAGTCAGCAGATGCTTTCAAAACACTTGGTGATTTTAAACTGATCAACTGAAACATTCACAGAAAACGAGTTTACAGGAGGAACACTGGTCGCCCCCGGCCCGTCTCTGCTCTGTGGGAGACGACGTTAGCGTCTTAATTAGCTGTGATCTTTGAAAGTGAGCCCACAGGAAGCTTCTTAACGCGACCTGAGAGGGGCCGACTCGTCGTCTGCCGGTTCGAGCTGAACTTCCTTTAAAGCGGGACCAGGTGGAGTGGGAGGAGTTTCACGAGTCCGGCCCGTCACAGCTGACCGACGGCTCCAACCACTTCAGCCTTCAAAATATTCCGCAGGCTTTCCGGTGCATCTTGTGAAGACAAACCAAATGTTGATGGTTTTACACACCTAAATACTAGGGGTGTAACGGGAAAATCACATTTCGGTTCGGGTCAGTTTCGGTACAAAAAAGGCCAAAATAAAGACTTACAAAATGTTTATTTTGAAAAGACGCCAAGTAAACAATACGCTTGTATAAAAATAAATAAAAACGACCCATTTAGATGATATTTTAAATAAACGGCACTCTTTACAATTAATGAACTATACGAACAATAATAAAAATCTTAATAAATACGACAACAGTCAGAACAACAGACTTCTTAGCTGGAGGTGATCTCTGGTGGATTTCCCTGAAGAGGAGGAAGACTCAGCTGCTCTCTCTGTCCCAGACTGAAAATAAAACACAAAGAGGTTAAAAAATAAATGAGTTAATAAGATTATAATTTTAAATTTAAAAAGTTAATTAGAAAATAATAATAAATAACAACACCTCTTCTTGAACGGTTGTTATGAGGTGGTTGAATCTCTCGCTCATCATCATCATCATCATCATCATCAGGGCTTTAATCTGCTCCAGGGCTTGTTGACAAAATCAGTTTGATCTTTTTCATAAAGTGCTGCTACAACTTTTTGGCTGAAGTGTTGACGTGATGGAGGTCGTAGCGGGGCTCAATAACTTTAAAGCCGGCGCATCAACAACAGAATACGGACGAAGATCCAGAGCTTCAACAACTCCTACAGGTCTGGACCGATCTGAATGACCTGATAAAGGTTGTTTACGTGCTGCTGTTATCGGTCTTTGCTCCAAGCTGCTGTAGAAGAGACGTTCACATTCGGATGATGTCGTTTCAAGCGTGTTAACATGTTGGACGTGTTGCTGCTGCAGATCCACTCTCCGTGAAACAACGTCCACACACAGCTTTGGATTTGTTCACTTGTCTTTTAACAAGAAAGACATGATGTTCCGCAACGAGAGGTCTTGTTCGTTGCCTGCTAGGCTGCTAACGCTACGCGTGCTGCAAGAAAATGGCGCCGTGCTGAAACATGCTTAGGAACTTTAGTTCCGCAGCGCATAATCTCTTTTTAATATAATTTAATGAGTGAAAAAATAACCGAAACGGTTCAATACACCCACATGTACCGTTACACCCCTACTAAATACTCTGTTTTACTTAAACTTTTAAGAAAGTATTACATGTAAAAGTTCTGGAATGGATACTTTATCAATGAGGAAAAAATATATTTTTTTAAGTTCACCCAGGCAAAATAGCCTTTTAGATCAGAAATTAAACATCAGATTTATTTTTCCTGTTTTGTGTGTTTGTTTTTCATACATGGGCCATTCCTTCCATTAGTTCTGGTACCCAGAGTGAACGTAACCAGAGAGCTTCTCCTTACAGCTCAGCTCCCTCTTCCCCACAATGGACCGGCACAATGTACACAATACCGCAGAAGCAAAAAGGTTCATGCTCAATAATCCAGGTATACAATCCAACCATTTTCTTTCAGGTCATCTGGACAGTTTCTTTTTTTGCTGAAACGTTTCACCTTCCATCCAGAAGGCTTCATCAGTCAAGGAAACACACAACAACAAAAATGATTCTTCCTCCAAACAGCTTACTTTAAAGTGGAACAAACTAGTTATGTTGGTGCTAAGATCGTGTCTTTGGCACGCCCCCTCCTCCGATGCCGGCCCTCTTCCTCGTCGACAGTCATGTCAAACTGGTTCAAAACCAAAAAGGTCCAGGTATACCTGGATTATTGAGCATGGACCTTTTTGTTTTTAATCTAGTGTACCTGCACGCGCGGTCCGGCGAGTTGAGGATTTCATAATAGAAAACGGAGAAGTTAAGGGCGAGTCCGAGGCGGATGGGGTGAGTCGGGGGGAGCTCGATCATGGCGATGTCGCTCGCTGCTTTGTAAGCGACCAGACTGTTCTCGGCCGCCTCCTTCCTGTCGTTGCCCGTGGCGAACTCTGCCAGGTACCTGTGGTAATCTCCCTTCCTGAGCAGGAAACACAAAAGGTCACACGGATCAGCTTTCCTCACAAACACAAACGAGCAGGTGGGAGTCAGGTGAGCACAAACAGACTCACTTAAACTGTCGTACAACTGGATCCCAAACATCTGGTTTCTCTGAGCAGCATTTAAAACGATCAATTTAAACATGTTCTTGTGTAAAGAAAGAAAATGAGCAACAACAGTTCTGTTTATTGACGTGCGTCTCACGGAGAAGGCTCGAAAACATTAAATACAGACAGAAGCAGCAAAAATACAAAAACAAGCCGAGAAGATCAGAGAACGGCTACAAGCAGGTACCAAACCGAGCCGAACCGCTGCTGCCGGGTCGATGTGAGATCCAAGAGCCAGAAGTGAACACCTACATTTTGTAGTAGAAAACCTTGGATTCTCCCGTGGTTGCAGATAAGATGAGGTGTTTGTCCAGAACATCCAGGATGTCGTTGCAGATAGATTTCAGCTCTTTCTCAACCTGCAGACAAAAAAATACAACAGAACCTCTTCAGATAAAGAACCGCAGCATCATCATCATCTTCATCGGTACCAGATCAGTTCTTTCTTCAAAGACGACAGAAAGAGCCGAGCCCGACAGGTTCTGTTAAAACACGAGCTCTGGGTTCAGCCGGCAGCTTCGACCCACAAACAGATTTTATGTTCGTTTCCTTCAAAGATGATTAAAGTGAAAACGCTGAGTCAGCGTTCGCTCCGTTCTTTACCTCTTTATTTATTCCTTCGTGTCTTCTCTCCAGTCCAACTACTGCTGACCCAACAGTTCGGCTGATTCAGGAGAGAGCGCTAAAACTTTTGAGTTTTGTCACTTTAAAACTTTTTAAATACTTAAAATATTTTATCCAATGTAACGTGAAGAGCTCAAATTATTTTAAAAACTTTGTTCTGTCACTTTTAGCTGTTATTTAGCCTTTTGCTACTTTTTTAGTTTTAGTGTAGTGTTTTTTAGTTCAGCCAAAAGTTCTTGGATCCCAATGACCGCAGATAAAAATCACTGCAGCAACTTTAACGCTGCTCTGGAATCAGTTGAACTCGACTTTAGTTCCTGGGTCTAACCGGCGGCGTGACGTTTATGGGCCGTAGGATCAGAACCGGCTCCTCTGTTGGTGACCGAGCTGCACCGAACGGTTCTGGTTGTTTTAAAAGCTCCTGGCGTGGAGAGCGGTGAACCATCGCCTCGGACAAAAACATCTCTGTAGTTCTTTGACCCCGATCGTTAGTCCCACAGAGAACCGTTAAAGAACCGTTTGGTACCGAAGTTCTGGTGACTGCTTCCACTTCAGTCTCTACTGGGAACAAACCATTGCAACACGAGTTCAGAACGAGACTAACCGCCTTCCTGTAGTCACGGATCATATTTAGTTTGTCCTCGCCGCCTTTGTTTTCTTCTTTCTGTTCGAGGCTGCTGATGATCCTCCACGAGGCTCTCCTGGCACCGATCACGTTCTTGTAGGCCACCGACAGCAGGTTCCTCTCCTCCACCGTCAGCTCCACGTCCATGCTGGCCACCTTCTTCATCGACTCCACCATTTCTAGAAAACAAACAAAAGAATCAGAAATGAAGCGCCGGGTTCTCAAGCGTCCCTGCAGAACGACAACACGAGGATCAGAGTTCTGCAGGACGCCGGTTCTCTGGTTTCACAGCTGGGCGTCGTTTAGATTTATCCGTCAGGTGTTTTACTGGTTCTGTGATCCAGAGCGCCGTTCAAAAGCTACAGACTGTTTGACGCCTAGCACCGTCCATGTGGCGGTCCACACCACAGATGGAGCGTCATCTGCTGAAGCCACACGCGGCGTTGACGGTGAAACTCGACACGACGACTGCGTCTTCTCCACCTGGACTCGTGATGCTCACGAAACGGTCATAAAACCATTTCGGCTCTTTTTCAGTCCCAGCTTCGAGGCCAAACTGTAGAATTATCAAACCTGCAAACTTTGTCGCTTTTCGGCAAAATTAGCCGATTTCAAACAAAACATGTCATTTACGTGAATCGCCTAGATCTGAAGAGATTTTTTTCGGGGTCGGAGGAGATGGCAACATTTCCCATTGCCTGGATTTTAAGAAACAAGGTTTCTGTCTACAACAGAACATCTTTGGTGGAACACGAGTCGTTTGGCCAATCGCGATCAAGATGGGCGATATGGAAAACTTTCATGGTCAAAGGAAACTAGTCTACGTTATAACTAGCTGGTAGACACTTCTAATGTTGGACACTTAGTTTTGACGCAAGTCTCGTTATCTGCCAACGATATGCTGTGTAAGTTGGGCCTGTCGCAACAATCAATCAATCAATCACATGATAAATTAAATTTATCAACCTCATTTTCATTTTATCGTTTTTCGTCTCTCTTTCTACTGAAGACACTGGATGACAAAAAGCTGAACTCCGGTGTTCTTCACTGACCCCTCCCTTCTCTTTAAAATCAGCTTTAACCGTCTAAAATCGTGTTTTTGGATTGCTAAAAGCAGCTAAGCTACGAGCTAAGCTACGAGCTAAGCTAACAGGCAGACCTCGGGAACAAAACCTCCGTCTTGTCAAAGCTCCAAAATTCACGGTTGAAACCCGTGCCTTCGTGTAAAAAGTTGTTTTTCTCTGCAAAAAGGAGCCGAGAACTTGTTTACTGATTTTTTTTTTTTTATTAAAAGCTTTGTGTGAAAAATGCTATGCTAAAGAGCTCAAACCACACTGAGCGTCCGCCATTTTGAGAACTGAACAGAAAGGAGAGACAGCCCATGTCACGTCAAGGGGTCTCCCTCACATTTTTTCTTAAAGTGATGCGCCGCTCACTTCCTCACTATCCATCCTTTGGTTCAGTCTTATACTGCCATCCAGTGGCCAAAAAAGGTACTACACACAATAAAATTAACCAACATTTTTTCTTAAATTTGACAATAATTACTAATTAAATCATATTTCAAACAATATTATTGTTTATCACAATAATTTCTGAGCCGATTAATCACCCAGCAAAATTTATCGTGACAGGCCTAGCGTCAGTTAAACTTCATTTGGCAACAAAAAAAAAATCCTACTTTAGAAAAGTTACACGTGTCGTTCCATTATCTTTTCCAACATAACCTTATGAGTAACGGAAAGCTTGTCAGCATGTAACAATAGCTAGGACGTCAGCTAACAACAGTGAATTGTGCGTTAGCGTTAGCCTACGATGTCGCTCGGTCCAAGGCCAAGAATTTTGGGAAGACTATAAATGCATCTGTATTGCTGTCCGGTAATAATGCGTCATTGTCATAAGATGAGAGAAATGAAAACACGCAACGTTAGTTCCAATGAAACACGACACACACACACGTGACACAGATGCTGGGTTTGTCACCTTTTTGATCCCTTCTGAGTTTGCAGGTAAGAATTATGCAGACCGTAAATAAAAATGGAAGGCGCTGTGGTTGGGATCGACACCACCCCCATGACGGACGGACTGAACAAAGTGTCAGGCGAGTTAAAAACTCTGACTAGGTGAAAACCTGCAGGGTGGACGCAGCCATGGAGACTCCAACAAACGAGCGACTGCGGGAACACAAACGAAACGTTGGAAAACGCTCCCAACGTTCATGTCGAGCCACTTCCTGGTGTGGGAAGACGTTCTTGAGACGATCGTTGCTGTGAGAACAGTTTTTCACGCCACTCTTACTATTATTCACACTCGCGTTTTTAACATTTGGAGCCATTTTACTCGAGTGTGAGCAGAAACAGACAGTGAGGACATCAGTCCTGAAGGGGGCATAACTTGCTCTGGACTTCCTGCGGACAGTTTCAACCCCCCCACCTTAATGTCTGAAAGATCAGCAGGTGCAACTGAGTGGGAGCAGAAACTGCAGGACCTGCTGCCTCAGACAGTTTTCTGCTGACGTGCGTTGCTCGACTTGAAGTCAGAGGCATTTAAAAACATGGTAACAAGTAATCAGAGTGGGCAAAATTCCTTATTTGTATCTCTTTTTATGTTTTTATATATATAATTGATTACGTTTTAAAATCTTTTATTTTTTGCGATGCAGCTTGAAATTTTTTTTAACTCTAGATGTGGCCCCCTGGACGCAAGTTTCAGACTTTTCTTACTAAATTAATCTGGGTTAAACAGGACAGATTACATGAGCACACCCAGTTCTACAATTATTCAGCAGCACCAAGTTGTCTAATAAATAATGCATTTGATGAGCGATTACATATATTTACAAATACAAGAATTGTAGATAAGGATGCACGATATTGGATTTTTGGCCGATAACCGATATGTTTATACGTTCCTTCGTCAGAATATATTCCTCTTATTTAGGCTTATTTGCTACAAAATATTGTTTAACAGCTGTAAGAGCTGGTGACATATATTCAGTAACAGCCATATGCATAGCACTTTAACTTGTATTAAATGAAAAGTGTTAAATGTTATTTATTAGCATTAGTCACCTGCTGTCTCATATGTGGAGGTTTGTTCCAGGTTCCTATAGCTGCAGTGGGGGATCCTCTGCACTCGTGCATGAAGGACAGACTTTTTAAGATCAAAGTTTTTGTCTATCCATTGTGCCGTAAGACTAATCATGCTAACGGGGCTAACACGACGTCCGAACGTCTGTGGTAAAACTCACACGAGCGCTATCAGCTGTTAGCTTCTCAGAAATGACGGCTTGGAACTCGGGTACGGCTGCGTCAGAAAAATATCTCTGGCTGGGGACGATGTAGCGAGGCTCAACGTAGTCCAGAAATCTTTGGAATCCAACATCCTCAACAACAACAAAAAACTCCACCACCGACATTTTGATTTCTTCTTCTCCGCGGTGATCGGATCAGGTAGACACGTGACATCACGTTGTGCCGGCGCTGCAGGCGTCCTTGTGTCGTCTTATAAAAACAGCCTTTTTTACATCGGTGAGTTATTTTGATGGAATGGTCGATGTTTAACTTTAACGCCAACATCGGCCGATACCGACACCATGCCGATAATATCGTGCGTCCCTATTTATAGACATGGTGTTTCTTGAAGAATGTGTATCGTTCGCCGCCTTTTGAGCTGAACATTTAGACTCGGATCTAAGAAAGGATGAAACTGCAAGTTTTGGTCAAACGTGAACAAAACGCGAGATCTTGAAAGATCTACGCTGAGGAAGACCCTCAGCTACTACCACACCAAACAATATCTGTAAATCCAACTGAGTTGGAGCAACATCTAGCCATCTTCAATCGTGTAGGTTGGCTTCAAACGTTAATCCGTTGTTGATGAGTTGGTATGACTCTCAGCTACTACCACGACAGACTTTAGCTCAGCAGCTTTAAAACTGACGGAGCTGTACACATGTTGAAGTCAATCAGCCGTGGCGGCCATCTTAAACTTATAGGACTACAGAAGCTAACGAGCTGTCCATGATCGAGTTTCATTAAACTGCGTCCAGCTGTTTGTAATATATTTTGCTAACAGAGTTCATAGATCTAAACTCAGTAGTGGCGTAAAAACATTTTTAATTTATGAACCTAGATGTCATCTAGTTCTGTTACTTCTGTTTATAGATAAATTCAGCTTTTATACAGAGAAAACTACTAAGCGGTTAATCATATTTATTAAACTACATTAAAAAAATGCTCATTTTATTTTCTATTTGGAATTCCTTGTCAAAAATAAGTTGATTACAGCTGAATATAGTTAATATGTTTTAAAATAGATCATTTAAACGTTGTGAGGTTATTTTTATTTATATAATTTCTATAGAGTAACAAGAGTAAAATGAAAATAACACTTAAATTGACATTATGACAAATCTGAGGAGTTTATTTAGTAATAGCTAATTTCCTCCTGTATCAAAGAGAAATGATTGTCTGGTTTCCAAACACTTTTAGGTTTAACAAGATGCTTGTTGGGTAAAACAGATCCTTGTAAAAGATTCATTTAGAGTTAACCTTTAAGTTAAAGTCGTGATTCTGACTGTGCTGCTGTTTTTGAACCGGTTAGCATGTCAGCGCTGAAGAAAGGCTAACCAGCTAGTTAGCAACCTGGACAAGAAGCTAACAGAAGCTAACAGCTACGGCGCGTTGCTAACACTAATGTTCCCCGGACTATGTGACACACAAGTGGGGCACGCGTCCAACAAGCCGACCGCCCCTTCCATTCAGTGACAGTGATTGTCACAAACCGAAGCTTTTGTTTTAATGAGCTGAGAAAACCTCCGCCATTTTGTCTCCTCTCACCCGACTAATCCATGTTCACCTGCGTCTCCCGAGCCCCCCGCGCAGGGAGACAGGCGGAGAAGAGCGGCCGAAGCACTCAGAAAATGACCGTTACTCGTGTCAACAGCCTCACCGTCATATCTCTCCGCCTGCTCGGCCAGCTTCGCCTGGTAGACCAAGTTCTCTCTCTCTTCCATGGCGCGCAGGTGGTGAGGCTCGTCTTAGCGTCCCGGCGGAAAAATAAAAAAGAATCGGGGAGAACTTGTCGGCTGCTCCGCGAGTCCTGGTGGTGGATCAGCAACAGCACCGAAGCTCCGCTGAGTGAACCGAAGAGCAGCCGGTAACACTGGCGTAAAGATGGCGCCGCTGCTCCATCCGGGAAATCCACGCATCGTCTCCGCCTACACCCTCCTGCAGCAAAACACAGTAACAAAACAAAAGGCCAAACTTGATTTAAACCGCAGCAAAATCTGCTTTAACTACACATCAAAGTTCATGCTCAATAATCTAGGTTAAAAAAAATCCAACAAAGTTAAATCAGGTCATCTGGACGTTTCAGTTTTTTTGTTGAGACGTTTCATCTTTCATCCAAAGGACTTCATCAGTCCGAGGAGCCACAACAAACTCAGTCTTATAAATAGCACCTTCACATAGTGGGCCAACCAGTTTTTGATGGTGATAAGATGGTCTCTGGAGTCTGCTGTCGACTCTGAGGCAGCCATAGCTAAACATCAAAATTCATGCTCAATAAGTTTGTTGTGGCTCCTCGGACTGATGAAGTCCTTTGGATGAAGGACGAAACGTCTCAACAAATAAAGAAACTGTCCAGATGATCCGATTTAACTTTGTTGGATGCACCACATCACGTTAATCTGTTTCTAATCCTCCATGAACAAATTTATTGAACATATAGGCTACATAAATTACCACAAAACATTTATTTTACCTCTTTATAAAATTTATCTTTAAGGTACTCACTGCAAACGATAAAACCAAATATTATAAAGGTTGACATATACTATTTAAAATGCTCAAAGTTAATGCTCAATGATCCTGGTTAAAAAAAAAAAAAAAATCAACAAAGTTAAGTCAGGTCCTCCGGACGGTTTCTTTGTGTCGAAACATTTCGTCTTTAATCCAGAGGACTTCATCAGTTCGAGGAGCCACAACAACCTCAGTCTTATAAACAGCGCACTAACATAAGTGGGCCAACCAGTTTGATGGTGATAAGATTGTTTCTGGATTCCGCCCTCTCCCCTGTCGACTCCTCTGAGGGTCATGACATTTTTAAAGTTTTTCTCCAGATACAATGAATTTGCGTTTCCAAAATGCGGGTACACATTCAACGTAAACAAAGCTGTTTCATACTCAACAGAGCAGCACGGTGGTTGGTAAAGTGGTCGCCTCTCAGCAAGAAGGTTGCCGGATCGAATCCGGTCCTTTCTTCGTGGAGTTTGCACGTTCTCATGCAGACCAAAAACATGCATGTTAGGCCGACTTGTCCCTAGGTGTGAGTGAGAGAGTGAATGGTTGTTTTATTTGTCTCCGTGTGTCTCTGATGGACTGGAGACATGTCCAGGGTGTCCCCCTGCCTCTTACAGTGATGGCTGCTGGATATGGGCACCAGTGACCCACAAAGGTAGAAGCAAGTAAAGATAATGGACTTAACAAATGTGAGACTAAATACAAAACAATACGTAGTTTTCAGTCATGTGACCAGCTCACAACGCTGGCGGACAAAACATTGATCCATGATGGCGGCCAACTTTTAACAACTGATGGAACAGCTGAGTTTGTTACTAGTTCTGCGGTCTCCATTCAAGACTACTTCAAGAGATACGAAGATATGATACGGATGTTGGGAACTTAAGAATCCATATTCTGCCCTAGCAGCTCTGTGAGGCAACATTTGTCCCAGATCTGAATAAATGTTGTGTGGGCGGTGAAGAACAAGAAGATATTGTTAAAGCAAAGAGAAGTCCAACATGGTTTCCTTAAAACAAGCAATATGTCCCTCTGTCGCTGAGGGATTTAAATAGTGACTGTTTCAGTTTTTGAAATGAGTGTTTTTCTGCCCATGAACGGTAAACCTTCATGTTTTTGGTGCAAGACATTCAAGTGAGTAGATGTTGCATTGTTTAGAACAGAGAGGTGGTTGTTGTTGTTCGAGGAGACGCAGAGTGACGGATCCTGGTGAGAGGAGGGAGACATTTTTTCCACCACCAGGTGCAGTGGTGGAGCCAGGGGGTGGTCGGTGGTGGTATTGGCCACCATAAATTAATCTTCAGCCACCTCCATCATTTGGGGAAAGTATACCTTTATGCAAAATAAAAACTAGAAAGCAGTTTCCTCAAACGATGTGGCCAGTTTACATATACTGTATGGTGTGGCCATCTTGGATTTAGCAACACAAGGAATCTTTCTTACTCCTAGAAGCAGCCGCACCCCCCTAAAAAAAATAAGTTCCACATCATATATATATATATATATATAAACATATACGTCAGTTCCTCTAGATGGCATTAATTTGGCCTCAATTTCTAGTAAAATATATTTTTGATCAGGACATGTCCTTTAACCCACATGTCAAAACATTACCAGGATCACCGTCTTCCCATCAGCAAAATCTCTAAAGTTAGAAACATCTTGTCCAAAGATGATGCAGAAAAACTGGTCCATGCATTTGTCACGTCTAGGCTAGACTATTGTAACCATTTATTATCTGGGTGTCCAAATACCTTTTTAAAAAGTCTTCAGTTGATCCAAAATGCTGCTGCCAGAGTCTTAACTGGAGTTAGTGGGAGAGATCATCTCTCTCCAGTTTTAGCTTCTCTCCATTGGCTCCCTGTCAAGTCCAGAACAAAATTCAATATTTTCCTTCTAACCTACAAAGCTCTCAACAACCTAGCTCCATCTCATCAAATTGTTCCATACTTTCTTAACAGAGCACATCGCGCTGTCTGACTGCAGGTTTATTTGTGGTTCCTAGAGTTTCCAAAAGCAGAACGGGAGGAAGATCTTCCAGTTATCAGGCTCCTCTCTTGTGGAACCACCTTCCAGTTTCTGTCCGTGAGGCTGACACATTGTCCAGTTTTAAGACTGGACTTAAGACTTTCCTTTTTGATAAATCCTATAGTTAGTGTTGGCTTGGGTTTCCTGAGCTATCCCTTAGTTATGCTAGGTTTAGACTACTGGAGGACAAACTGACTACATTTCCTCACTCTGCTGTCTTTACTTGCTCTACCTGTTTGTAATCGTTTCTATCTTGACGTGTTATTTTATAGAAAGTTCACCTGGACCTGCCATTCTGTTGGTTCCTCCTTCCTGTCCTCTCAACCCCCAGCTGGTCGAAGCAGATGGCCTGAGCTGGTTCTGCTGGAGGTTTCTTCCTGTTCAAAGGGAGTTTTTCCTTTCCACTGTCGCCTTTGTGAGTCTGCTGGCTTCCGGACGGAGCCTTTTCCCTCCATAGCGGGGGACAACAAAACATCCAAGTCTTTTGTTTTGTTGACTTGGACCTTTACAGTTGTATAGATTTGTCACAATGTGATTCCATGACTGTAACGCTGACTAAACTGGTTTCCCATGTCTGGTAAACCATTGCTACGGTTTTAAAGACCCACCGCTCGCAGCCCTGAGAAGCAGGGACTGGAGCGGTTTGCACCTGACAGACAGGTGTTCAACAGGTGACGCTCAAAGAGCTGCAGGGGTGAGTTAACAAAAACACCAAAACAATCAGATTTTACACTGAAATCTTTCAGACGTTTTATATTTTCAAAATACAACAGTTCACAAAAAAAAAAAAAACCCTGCATGTTCCAAATTCATTATTTAAACCAAATACTAAATGCGTTACAACTTTACCTTAATCTACAAAGTTTTACGTTAAAATATACTAATTTTAATGCTTTAAAACAGAAAACAACTTTATATCTGCTTGTTGTATAGTCTCCTTCAGGTCTGAGTGAAACAAAAAAGACACCCAATACAAAATAGGAGTAAAATAAAATATACTGTAAACACTTTAATTAAATACATGTTTTGCATCAATTGCCAGTTAACAGTAAAACAAAAATAAAATGTAATAAAATAACCGTGGTCCCTTCTTAGCAGTGACGAAACAAACATTCAAGTCAAACCGACCGATGTCTGATCTTAGTAATTTGAAAAACTTCGGGAAATTTCAGCTTAAATTGGTTCCCCGTCTTTACAAATTGAACTATTTATTCTTGGAAACATGTTTTAAACAATAAAAACTCATCTTTAAGCTATTTCAAGGCTGATGAACGTTAAGATTTTGCCATAATTTGACTTTTTTTTTACTCAGAAGCTCAACAAGGAACAAAAAAACCTTGAATAAAAAACCGGAGTTAAAAATATTGCATATATTTATTAATACAGCAGGTGCAATATTGTACAGACTGTGGCTCAAAAGTATTAAAACCGTAATAAAACTTGGCATTAATGTAGAGTACAAAAATACTTTTGACTTTGAGTCTCAATAAAATTAAAAAAAAAGTTACAATTCTATAAAAATGTAAACTCGTGACAGATTTTAAACATCCTGAAAGCACAGAAGCAGAATTATGAGCGGCTTTGAGTCGGTTTCTGATTTATTTGTGTAATGTTTTTTTAAATTGGCAACAAAATCAGCTGGAAACCAAACAATACAAAAACACAAAGTTAAAAACATTTAAAGCAGATGTGTCACGCCGTGTAATCACAGAAAAAAAAAAGTTTAAACACTTTGCTCCGTTGAAAACAACAAAAAGCGTTTGTTTGTTTGATCCAGTCCAGAGTTTGAGATTTAAAGGTTAAATTTAGTCACCTTGTCTTTAATTTAACTCCAAATCCTGTTTTTTCTTCTAAAATAAGCATTTAATTCATTAATGTTGGATAATACAAACAGATTTCGGAGAGAGGAAATTTAAAAAAAACAAAAAACCTTTTTTAGCACATTTTTTTAAATCAAAATAGAGTTAAATCAGGCTGAGACTTTTTTAAGGTGTTACAATGAAAACCAAATTAAAAATGTTTTTGTTTTTAACAAAACAAAAACAAATCAGTTTGAAAACTAAAAAGTTTCAACTCGAACTCTTAAATTACACGAGGGTTCAAAAACGCACTTTAAAATAACTTTAGTATCCAAAGACACAGAAAATATAAAAACTCCAACAAATATCGTTTATGGTTCAAGAAAGTAATTCAAGTTTGTTTTAAAAGTAAAAAAATAAACAGGTTTAAAATGATAATTCTTTGTTTGGATTAAAAAGGTCTTAAAAAGTCTAACGGATCGTCTGAAAGTAAGAAATAAAAACCTCCTTTAACCTCTTCAGGTGTCGCCACAAACTGTCACAAAATAAATACCGGAATATATTTTTTGTTCTTTTAAAAAAACTATTTAAGATAATTTAATTCCAGGCTCTGGTATCAAAAAGAAAAAACAGTTTCAAACACTTTCGATTCTATTTTCGAACGCACACCCGCCAAACTAAATATTATTTTTGTGAAAATGTCTCCAGGAGGAGAAACCGTCAACATTTTTTGATCGATCGGCTCCAAGATTCACGACTCGCTCCGCTCCAGCACGGCTGCAGGTTCAAAAACCGGAGTTTAAAACCGATGAAAGTGGATAAAGAATAAATTTAACATTTTTGATTCCGTTTAGCACCAGAGCGACGGCTCTGAGGGTCCCATTGAGGAGCTGATTTAATTTCAAATTAAAACAAGGGTCCAACTGTACGATTCGTCATATTATTCCAAGCTTTAAGTCAAAATGTTGATAAAAAATTTTATTAGTGAAAATATTTTTTCTGAGTAAGCAAACTGGGCTCATAAATTTGTTAAATGTATTTATTAATATGCAGCCGGGGTTACGGGACACTTTTACACGTTATAGCTAAAAACAGAATCAGGAAGTTGAAGCCACAAAAGGCTGAGCTCCCCCAAGTGGCTGGTTCCAGTATGACGTTTAAACTCTGAACAACCGGAAACAAACGGGATATTTTCCACAAATGAAACAGAAAATTTAAGTTTTTCATGTTCAACGAGTTACGTTTTTACCATGCTGCTGTACGTTACACTACGACTGACGAGTTGGGAGGGTGCGTAGGCGAGACTTTAGAATCTGCGGTGCAGCCCGACATCCTACTGGATCTCAATGAACCGCTTTAGGTTCTTGTGTCAGCGCTCGAGTCCGATAATTTAATAATTTGAGTCCCGTCTTTACTGGGAATGTTGATGAAAACTGATTTTCAGCTGCGTTTGAACGTCTGAGCCAAACTTGAGGTTTTGGTGAGAAAACTAAAAATTTTAGGATCACTTCATAGAAAATAAAATAATAATAAAATCTTGTTAGGGATCTGTGTGGCCAGGGAGCTTCTCAGAAACGATGATATAGCGGCCTATTATGCCCACTACTACCGGTAGTTTGTTCTCTAGAAAGGAAAAAAAACAAAAACTTGCCATTTACGGTATATATATATATATATATATTTTTTTTTTTTCCCCGTCTTGCCTTATTATGTTGTGTTTGCCATCAAAATTTGCGTTTAAATGATTACTAACCGTGCGGAAATTGTAAATATATTATATATATAAATATATATATATTGGGAGAACCTTTAGCTAAGTTACATTTACCGGTAGTTTTTGATACAAGTGGGTGTGCTCGCCACCTAGTGGTGCGGCACAAGTATTTCAGTATTCTGTCGGAACAAATGGATGATGAAATAAACATAATCCAAAAAGGAAAAAAAACTTTCAAAAATTTCAAAGTACTGTACAACTGAAGCCAATCAATACAATGACTTTTGTTCTCCGGTAAAACTCGTACGGCAGCATAAGACTGTAGGAATGTTGGGCAGTTGTTTATAGGTTGTTTATTTTCGGTCTGACAAAAGATTCCTGTAAAGTTTCTACAAAATATAGCCAGCAAAGGTCTTTGCAACAGTCATTGTATTTTTTTTTTATTTCTCTTTTACTCCTAAAATAAGGTTATTTACATAATTCTTAATTTAGTCTTGAAATACTATTCAAACTTTTTCCTAATTATTAAAATAAAAGTCCTAGATATTTTTAGAGGCCCTAATATGTTGTAAAACCAGCAGACCATGAGCTAACTTTATGTGGACGTACATGATTATGGAGAGAGCTGAGGCCACAACTCAACCTGAAAACATCAAAAAATGCATTTAAAAGGACTTTTTAAAAAAGTTATGCATTATTGTAATAAAATGGTGCCACTAATAACACAGACTCTCCAAGTCATTTGGTAATTATTAGATTTTTCTTTAAATATATTCGATCTAATGGATCAGTTAGTTGATGAGGACGCTCGTACTCTGACAGTACAGCTGAGCTCACCCGTCACCGTAGTTTCCACTTCAAAGTCCTTTCAAAGTAAAACTATGATGGCAGAAAGACACTGGGACCGTGTTTTTTTTACTTTTCGTTTTTAGGGGTGGGAGAAACACTAGAAGGAAACAACTCGTCACCTCCAGGCGTCGGTGTAACGTTTTAACCAGACTTTGAACATTTAAGATTCTCTGCCTATCCCTAAACCTGACAAGTAATTTTGTAAATCGCTCAACTTTCATACAAAATGGGAACTTTTTTTTTTTTTGTCATTTCACATTTTAGGCTTTAGAACTGAAAACTTTCTACACGAGGTTACAACGTATAGTTAATGGTCAATCATCAACAAGCTCCTGATGTTGTGAATTTTATGCACTTTCAGTAACTGCAGTCGGTTTGCTCAAAAAGCGAGTTTGGTCAGAACACAGAAAAACACTAATGTGTCCATCAGAGCCAGGATCGAATCCCAGATTTGACCAAAGAAAGGTGCTGTCATGGTGTTCGTTTGTACAGATTGAGCTGATCACAGCTGTGCTCTTAATCTGGTTAAACATCCAGTGGCTCAAACAATCTGCATCCAAACTAAAAAAAATAATCTGGAGCAAAGTTATGTCGATTTAAACACGCTCAAATCTGGGAACAACAAAAAAAAGCCCCAAATAATGTCCAACATTTCAATATCTGACAAATTTGGCAAAAAAGACGACAAAAACAAATTTCCCTCTATATTAAAGTATCTCTTCCATCTAAGCATGAAGCTAACCCCAAGGATATGTGGGTTGTGTGTCTAACAATAAATATTAAATCACAAAATGCCCTCGAATGAAAGAAAGACGTTATTTCAAGCGTCTGAGGCGTTTCCAGCTGGTTTAAACTCGCCCACAGTGGTAGTTGTTAAGGCTGGCTTAAAATAAAAGCTAACGGGTAAACCAGTAGCAGCTTGACCTCGGTGTAAACGGGCACCAGTATCGTCCATCAAAGCAGCAAAGATCATCCAGCACAGAGCTGCTGGGCGGATCACTGGAGCCTGACCGGTTCAGCTCACAAAGTCGTGAACTGAGCTCTTGAAGAACTGATTCCTTTCTGAACGAGACGATTCAGCAGAAATAAGCCGAAGGTTCGTTTCTCCTCAGCTTTCGTCGTCAGGTTGCGGCTGCTCCAGCAGCCGAACGTGGGTGAAGGGAAAGTGGCCCCGTTTCCCTTTGCACTCGCCCTCCCACTGACCGTTCACGTTGATTTTGGTCACTTTCACCATGTCGCCCACCTGTCAACGACAAAAAGATTAATAAAATGCATGTAATCGAGGGAACGTTCCATAAATTCCTGTCTGCGCTCCATACAGGCTTTAACGTGCGAGTGAAAACCAACACAGATAAACTGACGGAGCCGCCTACATCTTTACAGCAAAATCACAGATTTATGACTAAACAACACGTCCCATGTCCATTCCAGTGGTTAATGTTTCTAGTTGGACTCGGTAAAGATGAGTTTTCCCAGCTGCGTTGCTTCTTTCTACACCTACCAGCCAATTAATAACAAAAGTAATTTCAAAGTTCATGCTCAATAATCCAGGTAAAAAAAATCCAACAATGTTCAGTCAGGTCCTCTGGGCGGTTTCTTTGTGCTGAAACGTTTCGTCGTTCATCCAAAGGACTTCATCAGTCCGAGGAGCCCACAAGCAGCACACTCACGTAGTGGACCAACCAGTTTGACGGTAATAAGATGGTTTCTGGAGTCCGCCCTCTCCACCGTTGACTCCTCTGAGGCAGCCATGGCCAACCAGACAATCAAGCTTTGTTGGATTTTTGACCTGGATTATTGAGCATGAACTTTGATGTTTTGAACCACTTTGGTCATGACTGCCTCAGAGGAGTCGACAGGGGAGAGGGTGGACTCCAGAAACCATCTTACCACCAGCAAACTGGTTGATCCACTATGTAGGCCTGCCACGATAACAAATTTTGCTGGGCAATAAATTGTCTCAGAAATTATTTCGATAAACGATAATAATATTGTTTGAAATTTGACAATTAGTAACTATTGTAAAATTTAAGAAGAAATGTTTGTTAATTTGTTTTGCATGTAGCACATTTTTTTTGACCACCTGATGGCAGTATAAGACCGTTTGAACTGAAACATGGACAGTGGAGGAGCAAGTGCATCTGTTTAAGAAAAATGGGAGGGAGGCCCCTTGACGTGACATGGGCTGTCCTTTTTTTTTTTTGATTCTCAAAATTGCAGACGCTTTGTGTGGTTTGAGCTCTTTAGCATAGCATTTTTACACTTTTAAATAAAAAAAATTAATAATCGTAAACAAGTTCTCAACTTCGTTTTGCAGGAAAAAAAAACAGCTTTTTAGACAAAGACACGAGTTTCAACCGTGAATTTTGGAGCTTTGACAAGACTGAGGTCTCCCCATCTTCAAGATCTCCAACATCTTCTAAAAATGGACCTGGAAAACTTCAGCTGATAAAACTCATTCCTAATGAAACAGAAGAAATCTGTCATTTTTTAAATTAAATTAGAAACGAGGAAGACGTTACTGGTTTGGAGCAAAGTCAGTTTTGGTTTTGAATTAATGTGTCGAACTTTTCAAAATAAGAGGAGAAAAAGAGGAAACTGCAGTCATTTATGCAACAACAGAACCCGTTTGTTTTTCTGGACTCCAGCAGTACTGGACACAAATGTCCCATTCACAGATGAACCATTGAGCTTCTGTGTGTGGATAAAAAACGGGTCGGAGTGTCCAGAAGCGCTGAAAATGACCTCGTTCAGCGTCAGCTCGTTTATAAAGACACTGTCTCTGAGTAAACTACTCTGACAATCAGGACAATATACGCTGCCTCGGCGCTGACCCAAAACAAAGGACACACTGAGACAAAGTGTCTCAGAGGACAGTGGGACAGAGGTCCTACCTCCAGAGCCAGAGCCGTCTTGTCGTAAGCGTTGGGGACCCTCTTCTGAACGGCCCGTGCGTAAACGGGTCCGTTCTGTAGGTTCGGGAGCTGATTGTTGACCACAGGTTGAGCATACGGACCCGGGTCACCCAGTTCGGCCAGAGGGCTCACCGCCCCATCTGCGCCGTCAGCAAACCCTCCAGCTCCCACAGCTGGAGCACCCAGACCGGAAGAAGTGGGCGAGGCGGGCCGGTACTTTTCCACATAGGGCACGGGGATCATCCCCACTCGGCCCTCCTGGTTGGAGGCGCTCCACCACTGATCCTCGGGCTTCTCCAGAACCCGCAGGACGTCGCCCATGCGGAAGGGAAGATCCTCCTCGTCGTTGCCGGTAAAGTCGAAGAGCGCTCGGACATACTCCGCCTCCTCCTGCTGCTGCTGGGGGGCGCCGGAGGGGGCGGAGCCATTTGACCCCGTGTTTCTACCCTTGTTTACAGGTTCTATGAGAGTGGTGGTGTCCAAGTAGTGGATCTTGTAGAACTCCAGCAGAGACGGCAACGCATCAAACTCCTGATCTCCGATCTGAAACCGAGGCGAAGCCAAACCTGGTGGAGACACGGTGGTGTTAGTTTGTAGAACTAAAAACAAACAGAAGCACACGCCTGAATTACGTTTGGTACCTGTCCCAGGTGTCATCAAGATGTCAACCCGTTAATCAATTATCTGACGTGTGATCAAAATTACAAAACCCTCGAGTCCTTCAGGATCTGTGGATCCCAGTACAAAAATAACTGGTATTTTATCAGCTGGGTGGTACACATCGTCTCTAAAACCATGCTGATGACCAGCTGTGGCCAGCTGTGGTGAGGCTGATGTTCCATAAAACCACAACACTAAACAGATTCTGCTCTTGAGCTGAAAGGAAACGTGGAGCGAAACAACTCCAGTGAAGAAATTCAAGCCAAAATGTAAAAACGTGAGAAAACGTCTGTGTGTTTGTATCGGACCTAATATCCAGCGTGGCAGTAGCCGAGAGTCATCACGAACAGATACCCCGAGCTCGGACTGAGAGAGATCCGTTTTTAAAAACTGTGTTCTCGTTGTGTTAGCAAAATAACTCGTGAATCTGGACAAAACTGAACAGATCATTCAGAAAGAACTCTGCGTTCACGACATTATGGTCACTGAACAGTACACCCATGGTTCTCAAACTGTGGTACAAGTACCACTAGTGGTACTCCGGGTACTTCTAGAGGTACTTGGATGAAAGATTTGCATCAATCATTTACAAGTTAAACAGGAAGCTAATTGAGCTCCGTAACAAATCCATGAGTAGAAATAAAAACAAGAATTATGCAAAATACGCATGCGTCAAACTCGAGGCCCGAGGGCCAAATCTGGTCCTGTTAGCATCTTACCTGGCTGCCCAAATATTTTAAATGTGGTTTTTTTCATACGTCTGTCATTTTGCATACCAGCCTACTGCATACTTTAATGCAGAATACTACGGCAGTTGTCCAACTCTGAAGCCAAGAAAAACGTGTTTGAATTTTCCTATAATCTTTGATTTTGATGTGAAAAGAGCAACAAAGAACTCTATAAGGCAAACGGAGAGCATGTGGAAAACCCCTGGATGACGTTTAACCAATGTACCAAGGAAGCACCGCTGAAGTACTTTTTGGCACTTCTGCGAACAAAAGGTCCAAAACTGAGGGACGTTGATCCAAGTTGCCTCAGTTTTGTTTTGTTGTGGGGCAGAAGAAGAGCCGAGACTGTTGGGCCTTGTTTCTAAATACCATGAAGACCAGGTTCAAGATACTTTGTACAACTGTAACTCCCGGGTAACGTGGAGAGACCGATGAAAAAACAACTTAGCTTCGATGCTTAGGTGTTTGGTTAGTGCTTGTCCATAATGAAAACGCCTCTGGTGCTCTGAGGGTCTACATCGTGGCTCGCTTCACGTTGTGAACTCAAGCCGTTCTTCAAAGAGTCTCATTTTTAAACTTCAATGTTTGGTAATAAAGAGTTCACATTTCTCACAGCTCGACCACTTCATATGAAGTCTAGATGATTAAAGGCGTTGTCAGGAATGTCCCCCCCTCACTGAGGGGTTCGAATAGTGAACGTCTGGTTTTTGGAGACAAGTGTTTTTTTCTGGGCAGGAAACCTTAATGTTTTTGGTTCAAGATATTCAAGTGTGGAGGAGTTAACCTGTGGAGAAGAACGGAGGGAGGCGTTTCTAGTTCGAGGCGGCATTTTATCCACGATCAGACGCAATGACGGAGCCAGGGGGTGGCCAACGGTGGCTTTGGTCCCCAAAGATTAATCTACAGCCACTTCAATCATTTGAGGCAACGACACCTTCAAGCAATAAACACTAGTCCCTCGCTACTTCACGGTTCGACTCACGGACTTGCTCTTTCGCGGTTTTTCAACGTAAGATCGTACAAGACGCACGACTGTCAACTTTAATATTACTCATGTGATTGGGACGGTACGGGATAAAAAGTTAACCCAAGACAACTTGAGACAGTAGTTTTCTTTCAATAAGCCTACACTGTAACGCCAGTCAAAAGAACTACACTACCCAGAAGCCAGCAGTGCTTCCAGACGCTGCTTTCAGCTGAAATGGAGGGAAAGTTCTGCAACGCAGCGTCAGAACGAAGTAACGATCGATCTATGAAGCTCACACAACTGGCAGGAACATCGTAAACAATCCTGAAGCTCAATTATCCGTGCGCACATCAACCTGGACCGGGCGGAGGGCTTCATCGCTGCAGGGTAGATCTGCAGAACCGGAACCGAGCTGCAGAGTACCCGTAGAAAATGTTTCATAGCTGTACAGTACATAAACACATGATGTTAAAATTATGTAGGTTTAAGAGTTTAGAACACTGTAATAGTGTGGGAAGGCTTTATAAAGCAGTAAATTATATAAACACTAAAATACATACAGCGTTCCTACTACCGGTACGCAGTTTTTCACCTATCGCGGTGTAACTCCCACAATCATCGAGGGACTACTTTCTCTTCAGGTCGCTCTTGTAAATGAGTCCGAGGCTCAATGGGATTAACTTGTTTATATAAAGGTTGAATGAAAACATTATATTCGTGGTGGTGGCCATCTTGAATTTTAATGTGGGAACCCAATTTTCAGAAGGAACCTTTCTTACGCTTAAATGTAGCCACACACTAAAACACAGGTCCACATCTCACATTTTTTCAAGTTATCGCGCTCACAACGTGCACGAACAAGACATTTGTAATTCCCCCTCTCTGCTTAGCTAAGCCTAGGCTAGTGATGCTAACGTTAGCCGCGAATCGTTCACGTCTGCGCTACTTTTACTGAACCAGTGGATACAAAATAAGTCAATTTACAGATGAAATCCGAGTGGTAGTCGCTGAGAGTCTCTCACCACACAGAGACTGGGCGCGTCACAGATCCCGTGAAATCTCGCGATAACACGTCACGTCCGTGATTTGGACCCGAGCTGATCGACATGTTGATTAATCACGTTCTTAAGACAATTAAATGACAGCGGGTTGAAAATGCAGCAGCTGTGAAAAACAAAAAGACCCGCATCCAGTTGGAGGAATGTTCAAGGAATGCGGGTCCAAGGTTCAGCAGAGACGGATCAGACATTCCTGAGAGGCCAATCTGTCCAGTCATGCCCCAGTTGTGACATCGGAACCTGAACCCAGCAGCAAAAACTCACCTGAACCCGCCCGACACACCTGGGCTCCCCGGTGTGCAGGAAACGGGTCGTACTCTGCAGAAGTGGTTGGACGAGTTCCAATGAACTCCTTTAACCAAAGATGTCCGAACAGAACCGGTTTGTGTCTTACCCGAGCTGGACTGTCGGTTGTTGCTGATGCTGTTGATAATGTAGTGGGACACTCTGGAGTTCTCCGACACCGACAGCACGTAGTCCCCGGGGCAGGTGATCGAGTCCCGCACCAGGAAGACCCCGTGCCTCTGCCCCTGAAGGAGGGAAACCGCGTCCTGGCGGCTCAGTCGCCCCCAGTACCAGCTGGCTCGGTCTTCGGAGTCAAAATTACCGGCCATGGTGGCTGTGAAATCCCGGTGTCCGAGGCTCGACGCCCTCTCTTCCTTTATCCGCAACTCATGCAAAACTTCGTTTTACCGACTCTCCCGCGCGTCAGTAAACGCAACAAGGCCACGAATTCCAACGGTTGCGTAAAAACGTTCAAGCTTCCGGAAGGACCGCTTCAAAAAACACGGCTTAAAATAGGAAAGATCACAATTCTCTCCCGATTAAACCTCAAAACAAGTCGAAACTATTGAGCAACAAGAGCCTCCGGGACTGGCATGGCGGAGCTCAGGAAGAGTTGACCTAATCTACCGGAAGGAATGCCCGGTCATGGGAGGCGTTCACGCCCCCTGGAAAACATGGGAACACGACGGAAACCTCCGTCTACGACCGAACAAACAAAACAACAACCAGCCGTTAAATTAAATAAACAAAAACGAGATTAAAAATAAATAATTAGATTTTAAAGGATGTCCATGTAAAACAGTGTTCAGCGATTTGTTTAACAAATGTTTTCAGGAATGTACGGAAGCCCATTTATGCCACTCTGAAGGCAAATTAAAAAATATAATTTCAAAATGTTTTTGAGACGCTCATAATTTTATAATCTCTGAAATATTAGATGCTGAATCATATTAAAACATCAAATCAATCTTTAGTTACTATCTTGTGAGATATTACCTCAAAATGATCGGCAGCCAAGTTATAATTTTTTTATCTTCTAAATATAAGATGCCAAGTCATAATATGGAGATGTTTAAGAATTATTAATTATACAAAAGTATATAAATTTCATATTTTGGGAGGTTAATTCATAATTTTGGAACAATCTCTCATAAATATGACTTAAAACAAAAAATCTAAGTGGCAGAAATGAGCTGCTGCAGAAAAACTGAATAGTTAAAATATATTTGTGTGAGAAAAATTGTGCAAAACTAAAATGTTTTGTTTCCAATCTGGTTTTTTTTTATCTTCCATTAAAGACTAATCGTACATTTTCACATTGAAAATGGTATTTCTATAAATCCTCCCGAAACTGACTGATGAAAAAAATAAAAGATAAACTTCCATCATTTCAATATTAAAACCTCTGAAGGCACAAGTTTCACAACAAAGTTAGAAGACGCTGCAAGATGTCTCAACATCTGTCCAAGTACAAACACGATGTCTTTAAGATGGTTTGTTTTGCAAACAAATAGATTTTCTTTAAAAAAAAATTAAAAAAAAGTGTACTTTTTTAAAATACTTTGACAAATTCTCTTTTGATTTATCTTAATTAAAGCTGCCAGGATTTTTTAACACCAGTTTAAATGTATACATCTACACAGAGGTTTTGTTTTTAAATCATCTGCTCTATAATTTCAAAATCAGAAAATAAATAAAATAAATAAAAAGCTTTTTGTCATGTCAAACATAAAACAACTCCACAGTGTTCTGGTTTGTGACATGTTTCTTTGTTACAGCAAAGTACTTGACAAACTGACGTGAATAAAGTCCTACTCTGTTGTTCTTTACATGTTTACAGATTATACTTTCACGCCTCCACTGGATTAACTTGCATAATCTAAGCGCATGCAACAACTATAAAAATCGACGATTTGTAAAGTTGGTGAAATTATTTAGCTTTTCGTTTCGTCTACCAGCAGATGGCGGTTTGTATCTCTCGTGTTTACGAAACATTTTGGCACAGAAAGAAAAAAAAAATGCACAAAACAAATTCCTTTGAGGTCGTCGACACAAACTTTGCTGAAAAGCACTTGGGACGATTCACGATGAAGACAAAATTAAAATTTGTCTCATCTCCCGTGTTTCATCAGGTGATGGTTTTAAAGTGAATAAATATGATTTTATCCTTCATGTTGTAAACATTTGTGCAGGTTTTGTTCAAACTTTAATGGCTGACCGCAGGCAGTGCTAATAAACTTTATACACACAACTCATCAATCCAGATTATGATGGTGAGCCGGACTACGTGTGACGTTACAACCACTCCAAGAACTCAAGGTATTCTGAAGGAAGTTGGAGACTTTGCTGAAAAGCACTTTGATAATTAGGCTCAAACAACTGTTTTTTTTTAAGTCCGAGGCTGATTTTTGGTTTCATCATAAACTTGTCTTCTCTGATTCAGTTACTCAAACTTCTTCAGGTGGTTGTAGAGGGACTGGACGTAGGTGAACACACACATGGGGTCCGGCTTGTCCCCCATCTCCAGCATGTCGTCAACCTCGATCAGACGCAGACAGTCCGTCTGCTCCCTGGAACAGAAAGACGGCAGCGCTCAGACGAACAGATCAGATCAGTTAGAACTGTTCCTGCAGGAAACTGTCGTGCCACAGTTTCAATACAAAGCGACACACGCACGGAATCTGCACGTCACGCGACGGCCGGAACGCCGGCGTCCGTCCGCTCCGTTCTCCGAAGACCGAGGACTTGGAGCGTATTGACTTCAGAACGCACTTTCGTGGAAAGAGAACCAAGATGTGCCTACACCATTTTATGTATGTTAAAACAAATTACTTTAATACAGGACTGAACAGCCGACATGTGCTTAACGTCTTCTGGAGGCGTTTGAGAGAAACCGGTAAGTCCTAAAGCAACAACAAAAACAAGGCGTGAAGTAAACAAAATGCTTCCGTTTGTCTGATAAGGTTTAATAGTTCAAACACCTCGGGGTCATGTGACCTCGCAGGTGAGAGCGCCACTCATTGATTTCTATCGGCCTTTTTTTAATACAAATTATGTCGCCATGGCAACGAAAAGACAAACCCAGTAACACCACACAACTTGAAGCAGAGGCGCTCAATCTGATATTTAATTTGTGCTCAATCTGATATTTAATTTGTGCAGGTGCACTCTTATGTTCAGGCTGAAATAAAGTTAAACGAAGAGACAGGTGCCTCCATAGAAATGCAGAGGAAGCGATCCAGTGCAAGGCAGGAAACAAAAAGATAAGAAATATATTTAAAGCTGTAGCTACTTTTAAAACAAAAAAAGGCAACGCTCAATAATCCAGGTATACAATCCAACAATTTTCATTCAGGTCATTTGAACTATTTTGGTTTTGAACCAGTTTGACATGACTGTCGACGAGGAAGAGGGCCGGCAACAGAGGAGGGGGCGTGCCAAAGAGACCATCTTAGCACCAACATAACTGGTTTGTTCCACTTTGGAGTAAGCTGTTTGGGGGAAGAATCAGTTTTGTGTTGTGTGTTTCCTTGACAGATGAAGCCTTCTGGATGGAAGGTGAAACGTTTCAGCAAAAAAAGAAACTGTCCAGATGACCTGACTGAAAATTGTTGTACTTTTAAAACACTTCTAAAGTTTAATTGGGCTCATTTAACAGAGCTCCTTCACTAGGACTCACTCTGCTGTGGTGAAGGCCAGCTCCAGGTTTCGTTTGCGATTCGCTGGATTCAGAGAGTTGTATTCAAACTCCAGCGGGAAGAAAGAGTGGACCAAAGCACAGAAGGCCATCCCATCACTCCAACTGGACGAGAAGTTCTGGATGTCTATGTTCTACGAGGAAAAAGACAAGAAACAAGTTGCACATGTTACGTTTCATTCCTTCATTTATTGGTCACTAATTAACTTATCACTCTGCTAACGATGACATTATAACAAATATAGCGCCAAAAGTAAGGAAATACGTGTTTGATCACTAATTTCGTTGTATCAGTGTTTCTTGGCAATACATTATATAAGATTTATTTCGTGCCAAATTTGTAAGGAAAATGCATTTGTGGGTTTGCACCCATAAAAAAACTTGCCAAACCTTTTCTACCAATGCCGAACAGATTGTTGACCCTTGGGCTTCTGATACGCCAAGTCAGGCGCCTGATGAGCACCAACCCTGATACAGCAGAAAGTTGGTGTTTGCTTGAAGCGGCCACATTCCACTGGTCTGGGTAGGGCCTGTGTCTTGAACGTCAAGCTGGTGTTCCACAAAACCAAGTTGAAACACAATTTGGAGTCACATACCGTCTCCAAACTGCAGGTCCAGTTCCATCTATCGGGTGATGTCAGAGTCAGGCAGTGAAACGAGCGTCCTACAAGATGAGATTGTGTAAGAGGCAATCCTATATCACCACAGTCTGGGACTCAACTTTATCATTCCAGATGAAAATGGTTGCCAGAGAACACACAGAACAGGGTTTATGTGGCAACAGAGAGGATAAAATGTCTGTCTGCCTGCAGGCCTCACGTCAGCCCTGCTACACCTGTTAGCATCTCTTTGTGCCAGACTGGCCAACACAACCAAACTGGCGGACTTAAGACAAATGCTTGTTGAAGAATATGATGTAATCCCACAGCAGTGTGTGACCAACTGGTGAGCAGCACAAGGACAAGATGCCAAACTGTTGTGGCTGTGTATGGTTCTTCCACATGCTATGAAAGACTCCTAGTTGTTGTTGTTATTGGTCTTATTCTTTCATCTGTTCCTTTTTTAGGAGTGGTCCCAGTGAGTCATCCTCCATCTCACTCTGTCCTCACTCCATCTATCTCCATGTCCTCTCCAACTGCATCCATAGATCTCCTCTGTCTTTTTCCTGGCAGCTGCATTTCTAACGTCCTACCAGTATACCAACTGTCCCTCCTCTGGACATGTCCAAACCACTGTCCCTCCTCTGGACATGTCCAAACCACTGTCCCTCCTCTGGACATGTCCAAACCATCTCAGTCTGGCCTCCCTATTTTTATCTCCCAGTTGTTCAACCTGTGCTGTACCTCTAATGATCTCATTCCTGATCTTCTCCGTCCTTGTCACTCCTAAGGAGAACCTCAACATCTTCATTTCTGCCACTTCCAGTTCTTTCTTCTGCCTTTTTGTCCATGTCTGTCTCCAGACCATACAACATCGCTGGTCTCACCACTGTCTTGTAAACTTTTCCTTTGACCTTTGCTGACACCCTTTCATCTCAAATCTCTCCTGAAACTTTTCTCCATCCTGTCTGGACTCTCTGCTTCACCTCTTTACTACACTCCCCATTTTCCTGATCAGCTGACCCCAAGTTCTTGAAGTCCTGCACCTTTGTGACCTCTGCTCCTTGTAGCCTCACTGTTCCACCTCCTCCCTCTCATTCACACGCATGTTCTCTGACTTACTACGGCTGACTTTCATTCCTCTTCTTTCAGGTGCATACCTCCACCTCTCCGAGTTCTCCTCCACCTGTTCCATTCTCACCACAGATCACCAAAGTTCTTAAGAGAATAAATAATAATAAAAAAAAAAACCTAAATTTTAAACATCTATAGTTCCTTCAGACTTCAATCACCTAAAGACAATAACAGAATAAGCTGTTTTCAGAGACGTTTTTCACGAGTATAACGTATTTACTCAACTCCACTGCTCGACCCACAAATGCTTGTTCCTTAAAATGGTGTCACCATTTAAAGAGAAATAAAAAGACTTTTCATGGTCAAAGACTTACAGCCAAGAAGAGTTACAAATCAAATAATGACCAAACATTCGGTCCATCTCGTCGGCTGACCTTGTAGCCGATTGTTTTTGAGCGACACCACTCCAGGAGGATCTGTTTTATACCACTGGCACTGGAAACTCCAAAGCTCTGGGAGCGCTTCAGTTGGGGTTTGGAATCCTTTGCCCTGTGTGATGAGAAACACGACTGGTTTTATGTCAAAATCTGTATGAAACGAAACGATTGTGACGAGATGTAGTTTGAACGCCCTTACTTTACAGGGTCTGAGTTCATTCTTTCAAACAGGGCCCGTTTCGCCTGAGCCCCGTTGGGACGTGGAAGTGTTTGAGATTTCATCACATCCTGTTTAAACTCAAACCCTCCGGACTTGTTCGATCTCCACGTGGACAAACAAAATGAACCATTAGTTTGAGTCTTACTGGTTTTGGGAGAGATTTATGGTTGAAACTTACTTGTCCAATTTGGGCGAGAGTCCAGATTTTATAAATGATTTTGAGGGAAGTAATTTCTCTGTAAAGAAACGATCACAAAAGTTCAGAGATGACTCGTAAACCACAGGAACAAGTCATTTTGCCAGCAGACCTGCAGGTTGAGGAAAGCTCACGCTTCTTTTTAGACTGGGACTGGGTGTCTTTAGAACTGGTGCTGAAACGATGGAACGGAAAACACAAAGAAAGTACAAATGAATATAAATTTCCACAAACTGAGCTCTCCTCTTGACTTTTATTGTGGAAGCATGTGGTTTCTGGTCAAACTCACTTCGTTTAAAGGGATATTCTCCAGGTTTTACGGTCGGGTCCTGAGATGGTGAAAGAGACTGGGACTGGGCCGAGTCAGCATTTGGTTTGGTGACGGCTGAAAGAGGTGAGTGGGACTTGAGTTCACTCATGTCTAAAGAACAAAGATGGTGGAATAAACTCCACTTTACAGCAAAAAAGGTTAAATCATGTCATCTGAACCAGTTCCTTTAAGTGAGAAATGCTTGCTACTCACAGAAACAGTCTGAGGACAACCAAGACCAAAGTGGTTCAGAAACTGGTCCAGATTAAATTAAATTAAAATTCAATTCAAAATACTTTATTAATCCCAGAGGGAAATTAAATGTTGTTGTAGCTCATTCTCCTGGTTTCATTAAAGAGTTGTTCTAGATGCTGATGGCTGTGGGCAGGAAGGATCTCTTGTGGTGGTCCGTCTTACAGCAGAACTGAAGAAACTGGCCACAGATGTTGATCCGTTTACTTGGACTTGGTGGGCCTCTCGGTACTCCTGGGCAGCAGGACCACCTGAATGTTGGGCAGAACTCCTCCCAGAGCGATGGTCACTCCTCTCAGCAGCTTGTTGAACTCCTAGCTGCAGGTGTCGGGGGATGATCCTGGTCGTCTTCTTGTCATGAGCAGCGTTTCCCACCAGCTCCGGGATTTCGGTGATCAGGTACTCGAACACCGCCACCAGGTAGACGGAGATGCATCCACGGCACCTCCTTTACAACTCGTTTGGGATTTGGGGCTGTAGTTGAGACATTATTTGAGCTTTGAGATGTTAATCAGCTGCTCCCAGTTGTGAAAACACATTGTTGCCATGGTTACGCATCATAACAAATGTCCAAAAGTAAAAAGGTTTCAATAAAAATCCTTCCAGCTGCACAGCATCCGATACCAGAGGAAATTATCATCCAAAAAACAGGTCAGATGAACAGATTTAACCTTTTTTGTTGTTATCTACCTGGATGATTGAGCTTACAACCCTTTTTCCACTTAACAGCCTTTCCTCTAAACTTTGTTTGTTGAGGCGTTTGAGACTTAAACAGTTTTAAATGGAAAGCGTTGTACCTCTAAACGGATGCTCGGTTTGTTTTACTGGTGGTGAGTCTTGTGTTAGAGGGCTGAGCGCTGAGGCAGGAGTCGGATCAGGTTTAGCTGCAGCTGTGAGGGGAAGATGGACCAAAGACATGGAGTCTGACTGATCCTGGGAGGTCTGGGAGATCTTTGCCTTTGCTAAACAAGCAGACATGGAACAGAAAAACAGCTCTGAGGGAAGAATGAAAACATGACAAACTAAAAAATACTGAGTGAGGTCTGTCAGACTTCCTTCATGACATAAACTTTAACTCTACGAAGATTTTAGATTTTCTGACTGACCTATAAATAAATGATCTCCAGCTGCTCTCCGTCCAGATGCTGGTGACTGAGCAGGTTTGGTGGTGAGCGATCTTTCCAAACCAGGTTTAGTTGTCATGGCAGTGACAGGAAGATGGGGCTGGGGTTCATCAGCATCTGAAACAGGAAGATGCAAAGGAACAGTGAAGAAGAAGTGCATGTCGCCCACTGCCTTGCAGGCAAAGTTCTAATCTAGACAAAGACCTCACACAATCCGTTTGTGCTCTGAATGATGCTAAACACCCCCCCAGACCAAAAGTTACGTCAATATCTGTAAAACTGACTGAGTTGCACCAGTTTTTGTGTTTGCTATGGTTGATTGATTATGGTGGCTATTCACTGGTTCATGAGGTATTTTGCTAACAGACAAACACACAAGCATTACAGGCTCAGCCTCTGGAATGGTGGTAAGTGATCATTTTTCTACTCACTGTAGTTTTCATTTGGGTCAGCCAGTTTAAACTGAGGCTCCTTTGAGGGTCTGGCCACCGAGGGAGGGTACTGACTAATTGCTGGAGCTTCTGAGTCAGCTTTTGTCAGTACAGTAAAGAGGTGATGTTTGGTTGGAGGACCTGGTTCCTTTTGGTCTGCAGGAACAAAGATGGAAGTTCTTCATCCTCATAAAACCCATTATCACTCAACAGATTCTCCTGTTTTAATGAGGGAACATTCAACTTCTGGCACAAGTTCTGAAGGAAATTTGAACCAGTTGAAGAAAGTGAAAGGTTTATGTGCTCTCAAATTTAAATTTAAAGAATACTTGTTTCATGGTGACCACTGAATACAGTAGATCAGCATTTTACACAACTGGACTGTGGACCCCATGAAATCTGGATGATGTTGTCAGTTTTATGAAACAAAATACTTTAGCTGAGCCCTTCATTATATAAAGAACAGAACATAAAGCAGATCATCAGGCACTGAATGAACTAATGGGACGTGAACTGGACCAGCTGAGCTGAGGGTTTCCACTGCAGAGGACTCCTGGATCCGTTTGGTGCTCAGAGACGGGTGGGACTGAGGGAAAGCTTGGGGACTTTGGGCTACACCGATGTTTTCTGATGCGTTTCCTAAAAATAAAAATAAAAACAACCATACATTTAATCATGATGTGAAGCACTTTGTATGAACGTGAAGAAGTCACCCACCTGGTTGGTTGTGACTCTCGGAGGCTGTGGCAACATCAGAGGCAATGTTTCCTCCTTTAGCATTGTTGCCCTTAACAGGAAAGATTAAGTTAAAGTATGATATTTTAGTCAGTGCTGTAATTTTTTTTCTTTCCATGAGACAAGTTTTCAGGGTCTTTTACATTTTATTTAAATTTTTTAAACTCTTGCCTTATTTTAGGAACAGCCCTGCTGCTTTTAAACATGCTGCGGTTAGGACCCTTCTCCAAAAACCTCACCTTGACCTATTGATTTGATCAAATTTTAGACACATTTCTCATTTGCCTTTTTTAGTTAAAGCTTTGGAAAAAGTTGTTTGATGCCGTTACAACCCGTCTTTGAAAAACATGGCATTTATGAAACCTTTCAGTCTGGATTTAGAACTCGTTACAGTACTGAGTCAGCCCTATTAAAAGTCCTTTATGATATTGCCATGCTCGTGGATGCAGTGTCCTGTTGCTTTAGTGTTTGTGGACCTTACAGCTGCTTTTGACAGAGTGGACCTGCTGTCCTTCTGTCTGGTCTTCAACACTCTCTGGGTCCAACATTTTTCAGTCAGGTCATCTGGACAGTTTCTTTTTTTGTGCTGAAACGTTTCGCCTTCCATCCAGAAGGCTTCATCAGTCAAGGAAACAGACAACAAAACTGATTCTTCCCCCAACAGCTTACTCCAAAGTGGAACAAACCGGTTCTGCTTGTGATTAGATGGTCTCTTTGGTACGCCCCTCCTCCATTGCCGTCCCTCTTCCTTGTTGACAGTCTTGTCAAACTGGTTGGAAACACCTGACTGAAACACCTGACCTGACTGAAAAATGTTGGATTTTATACCTGGATTATTGAGCATGGACTTTGTTACTCTCTTGGTACATCTGGCCGAGCTCTCATGTTCACCTCCTACTTGACCAACAGAACTTTTTTCTGTCTTGATGGGTACTCTGTCTTCCTCTACTGCCCCTCTTTCTTGTGGTGTACCACAAGGCTCCATTCTTGGACCACTTCCTTTTTGCTCATTGTATGCTGTCACTTGGATCATTATAGGCAGACACCCATTTTCTTTTTGCCGTTACGCAGATGACTAACAGAACTGTTTTGCCCATGAAGCCTAGAAGTAGTAACCTTCAAACTTATTTTATTTATTGTTTTGACAACATTAAACAGTGGCTTCACAAAATGTTCTGTTTTTAAATTAAGGAAAGACGAGATGTGTCTTTTTTGTTGATGATGCTCGTTACAACTTTGGTGCTCTGACATTCAAGTTCAGACCCCAGTTAGAAACTTGGGGGTGACTTTTGACAAGGATTTGAAGTTTGATAATCCGACAGCCTCTGTAGTCAAGGCCAGCTTTTAGCAGTTACATCTCGTTTTACTCCCTCGTTTTATTTTCTCTCTTTTAGCTTCCAGTCTGTTTTAGAATTGATTTAAAACTTTTATTGTTCACTTTTAAAGGTCTTAATGGTCTCGCCTCATGCTTATTATCTGATTTAGTAGCTTTTCATGAGTATGAGAGGACCTTAAGGTCAATTACGGTAATACTTTTATGGTTTGTCCTCAAGTCCAAATCCAAACGTTGGGATGACTGGACCTTTTGGGTCGCTGTACCCAGACTGTGGAACCAACTACCTCAGGACTTGCTCTGAACTTTTTTACATCTAATCCTAAAACCTTTTTATTCAAGCAGGCCTTTAATACCTATTGGCACTTTGGTATTTAAAAAAATATATATATTTTAACTTTTTTACTGTGAATATATATATATATATATATATATATATATATATATATATATATATATATATAATAAGGCATTGATTAGATGCTACAGAATGATTTATTCAGATTGTATTTGTAGAAAAGGAGCAGAGGGTTGTTTAGTGGACGGGTCATTGAGGGCAGACTGTGCTGTAAAGTGCTTTGAGCAGTAAACTTTAAGTACAGTCCATTTACCATTATACATGCTTAATATGGACATTAATATCATGGCATATCAGGTTCTCAATGTTCTTTTAGAGATAATGTGATAAAAAGCCAAGTTTCATTTGAAAGTGTAAAAAACAAATCTAGTCTGATTTTCCTTTAGTAAATTGCATTTTAATCAGACTTTTAATTAACCACCGAACAACTTAATCTCTATCATGTACATGTTTTTAAGTCATTATGGGCTAAATGCAAACATGTAGCTAGCATGTGTGTTTCTGCACCATCCCTTTTGTTTGACTGGCAGCTAACAGCCACAGTTGTGGTGTTCAGACGGCAGCTAAAATTAATTTAGGGTCTTTATTGTTTGTGGTAAATCAGTTTCTTTACACGTTAGAGCTTCAGCTGTTCACGACTGACAGCTTCTCCTTTTATGACAGCTATGGCCAACAAACCCTGGTTCCCACCGAGAGCTATTTTAGATGCCGAGTTCCCTCCGCACTCTTCTTACATCCCAATATAACCCCAAATCCAGGCTTTGTAAAGTTAGCCTGAGCGCTACAAACGGAGGTTTGGGCTTTTTCTTCACCTCGTGCATCCTGACGTTTGTCCGGCTGCTGTGTGATGCATCATCATCGCCACGTTGATCCGTGGTCGCCACGGTTGTGGCTTTATTACAGTCTGACACTTCTAATCCCCTCAAACTCTAAGTCACTTCCACATCAGCTTAGAAGCAAACACTAAAACACAAGCACGTCCGTCGGCTCAGGGGAAATCAAAGCCCTGGTGTTCTTTGAAGGATTGCGTGTCGGTCGTCGCCTCAGTCTCATGCGAGGGGTTGAAGACCATCTTTTGTTGAAAAACGAGGGCGTTGTAGCCGTTTTGGTCAAACCTTGGCGGCCATCTTGGACTGTGGTAACTCTAAAAGGTAATAAGTTGTAGATGTATGATTACAGTGGTTGATAAGATATTTTGCTAACAAACATTGCCTGCCTTCACCTTTTGGTGGTGGTGTTTAATGTTGGTGGCGTGTTAGAGCCGGGGGAGTCGAGAGGCCGATGGTTTGAGTAAAAACCAGATGAAGTATGTTGGTGGGGGGGCGATGTTTCGGTGTGACAGCTGGCTGTTTCTCTCCCTCCCTCCAGTGTCTGTGTGCTGGGTGGGGGTGGGGGGTGATACTTGACAGGGACGTAGCTGCAATTCAACTTTCCATTGGGAGACTTGACCCTCGGATTGGCTCAAAGCAGAATTCCTGGGACATTAGGCGACGAGGGTTTATTTCCGTCCCTGTGAGGTCATCCTGCAGTGTCACATGACCTGATGTCAGAGGAGTCGTAGTTTACTTTGAAGTTGTTTAGAAAATCGCTGATTGCATTTGGTAGCAGCGTAAGTGCTGAGTCAGCCTTCACACAGTTTTCTTCTGTACGATTTAGGGACTTGTGATGTTTTAGCCGTTCGTATATCAAAATGTTTCTGCTCAATCTGGAATACTGAGCTAAAACTTTTAGTCTTTGTAACTTTTTATATTTCTGAAACATTTAGCTTCGTTTAGAAAAGACTAACACATCGAGCTCTTCAAATCGTTCATTGTTCTCTTCAGAAAATCTACTTCAGCAAACTTTGTTTTTGTCTCATGCTCCTTTTAGCTACTGTTTTGTCAAGTTCATCTTTAGATATGGTTTTGATAACTTTAGTTTTTACCTACGGTTTTGTTCATTATAGCTTTTAGCTACCATGTTGCTATTTGTAGCAACTGTCTTCCTAACTGTATTTACCTAACATGTTGTTACTTTTAGCTAGTTTTATTATTTTTAGTTTTTAGCTATTGTTTACCTATGTTTAGCGTTTTCCTTTGTTTTTGCTAACTTTAGCTTTTATCTACGGTTTGGTTTTTGTGCTTTACCTAACCATTTTCTACTTTTAGTGTTAAGCTACAGTTGTACAAACTTTAGATACGATTTTGTGCGTTATAACCTTACCATTTAGCTAGTTTTGCTAATTTTAGCTTAGAGCAAAAATTTTGCTAACTTTAGTTTAACTATGGTTTTGGTAATTGCAGCTTTAAGCATATTTTTTACTACTTTTAGCAATGATTTGCCAACTTTAGCTTTTAGTTATGATTTTACTAGCTTTAGCTTTAAGTCACAATTTAGCTAATATATATAGCTTTTAGCTTTGATTTCTTTCATCACAGCTTTAAGATAACAATTAGCATTCGGCTACAGTATTGCCAACTTCAGCTTTTAGCAACAATTTTGCCAACTTTAGTTTTTAGCTATAGTTGTAGCTTTTACCTTCCAATTAGCTTTATTAGCTTTTACCCATCGTTTTAACTTTAACTTACGGTTGTTCTTTTAGATTCTCTTAATGTTTTGACTTTACTCAGTTTCGGCTTTTTCAGCTGACCTGAGCAGGCGTTCGGCGCTCAACACTTGTTTTAGCAGAAAATGGCGTTGCTGCCGTTTCGAGCTGAACTTGGGGTTAAAGGTCAAATATTTACTGCACAGCCTCCCTTCAGGACGCTCAAAGGTCGTAACCTCTGTAAGTCAGAGCTTTCCACAGCTCGAGAACCTAAAGACTAAACTACGAGGGGCCAAATACAGATTTTTTACAGAAGAAATAAATAAAATACTTTGATGTTAGCGTTAGCTGTCTTCACTTCCTGTGGAGACCGCACTGGACTGAACATCAGCCGGTTCAGGTGGGATTTATTCTGTTCTCTGCCAAAATCCCTGAAAGTATTTTATACCTGAGCTGCTCTGCGTCGACATTAACTGGACCTCCGGTACCGACGTAAAGAACTCTGGTATGACTTTTTTCACTGGGACATTTAGCGCCCACGTTTAAAAAAATGTTACCAGGAACATTTTCTTCCACCTGCACAATGTCACCAAGATCAGAGACATCTTGTCCAGAGATGGTGCAGAACTGGTCCGTGCATTAATCACATCTAGGCAAAATAAAAGTCTTCAGTTGATCCAAAATGCTGCTGCCAGAGTCTTAACTGGAGTTACTGGGAGAGATCATATCTCCCGTTTTAGCTTCTCTTCATTGGCGCCGTCAAATTCAGAATTCAAAATCTTACTCGTAACCTACAAAGCCCTCAACAACCTAGCTCCATCTTATATTACAGATCTTATTGTTTCATGCTTTATAAATAGAGCACTTTGCTTTCAGACTGCAGGTTTACTTGTGGTTCCTGGAGTTTCTAAAATGGGAGGAAAATCTTTGTTCTCAGGCTCCTCTCTTGTGGAACCAACTTCCAGCTTCTGTTCGTGAGGCTGACACGTTGTTCAGTTTTAAAACTGGGCTCAAGTCTTTCCCTTTTGATAAATCCTATAGTTAGGGTTGGCTTGGGTTTCCTGAGCTATCCTTTAGGTATGCTGCTATAGGCTGCTGGAGGACAAACTGATCACATTTCCTCAATCTGCTGCTTCCTTCCTCTCTGTACTTCATATTTGTAATTATTTCCATCATTAACACGTTCTTTGTCTTCCTTACTATAGAAACTACCCTTCAACCAATCCTTCTGTGTGCGTCTCTTTCCTGCCCTCTCTAACCCCAGCTGGTCGAGGCAGATGGTCTCTCATCCTGATCCAGGTGCTGCTGGAGGTTTCCTTGTACAAAGGGAGTTGAGCCTCTTCTCTCTTCGTGCTGCTCAGGATGGAGGAGTGAAGATTCGTAATGCGATCGTAAGAAGTCGTTATAGCTTGAATTCATTGACTGCAGTTGGTTTTGATTCTGTTCACAACTGAACTGGATTCATGATTTGAACTCGATTCAGTTGTTTGTCTTTCCTTTTCTGTATCGTGCCTTGAGATGACCGAACTAAACTGTGACATCAGACTGATGAAGCCCTCAGGATAGAGGGTGGAACGTCTTTCTGCAAAAAACAAACTGTCCAGATGAGCTGACTGAGCGTTACTGGATGAACTGACAGTTTTTTAATATTCTGTTTTACGACTCGGTCAAGTTCTACAAATCCCCGTTGGTTCATTAAGTTCAGCTCGTATTTGTAAAACATCAGAAAACACCACTTTCACCCAAAGATAACAACATTTAGCAGGATTTTCTTATGGACAGCAAAGAGTCTAACTGTAGTAATTAGAGATGATATTAGTGCACAGCTGTGTTCACATCTGTAAATAAAACAATTAAACGTGTATTTTTTATTTTCTAGCCCGAGTTGTTGGAGACGAGGACACTTTTAGATAATTTCAAACAGAGGGAACCATCGTAACAGGAAGGCCGGTCATAGAAGACGAGGACTCGGAGTCAGCAGCTGAAGCTTAGCGCTCTTCGGAAAGTTCTCGTTGACGTCCTGGATTCATCTTCTGCCCTTCATCTTTTATCAGCCGGACTTTTCTGAACTTATTCAGATTTACGTACAAATAAAAACAGTTAAATGTATTTTTTGTAAAAGTATTCCAGATGTTTTTTTAAAGGAAAACCCTGTTTGTTGGTGGTTTCGCTCCAGCACCACGCTCAACTTGCAGAATCTTTGTGTATTTGAGCAGAAACAGGTTAAATACTCACGTTGGTTTCCGCCGCTCTCTTTAGCCTCCACGGCGCCGGGCTGCTGCTCGAAGCGGCGTGGCTCCGTCCGGCGCCTGAAGGTTCAGACTGCGTGGAGGTGGACTGACTGTTTTCTGACCCGACGCAGTCAGCGAGGCCCATCCGGTCCTCGGGGTTCCTGGATGGAAGCAGATCTTCCGTTCTTTCCTCCTCTGTGCTCCTCTGCACACTGGTGAGGCGTTCCACCAGGCGGCTGAGGGCCTCCAGCTTCGCCCGGAGCTGCACGTTCTCCTCCTGCAGCCGGCTCACCGCCTCAGCCAGGGGCCCGTTGGACAGACGCAGCTCGTCGATGCGCTGCTCCACTCGCTGTTTGAAAGCACTTACGTCCACGTGCACCTCGCTCACCGCAGCCTCTAAAGTGGCCTTGAACTCAACCAGAGCCTCCTGAACTTCCTCCATGGTGACCTTCAACACCTCCTGGATTCAAACCAAACTGAAACAAACTTTTTCTTTATTAGAGTTCTAAATGTCAATGTTCAATGAACTCTACGAGCTGGTTTTTATTCCAGTGGTCCAGTAAAGTCGAACGAGGCCTTCACAGGACGACTGCAGGCAGGTCCCACAGAGCTCCATGGAGAACGTCCCTCGTCGGTCAGGTTCTGTTACTCTTTCTTCTAACGAGAGCAAAAGCAAACGCACTCGTTATTTATACGTCACGGAAAACTCTGAGGCAGCTTGGAAAAAAGAGATGAACGTTCCCGCACGCAGATCAGTTTCTCGTCGCACGCCGGAGGTCAGGAGCCGCCAAACCAAAGGACCCAGAGGCAAAATGTGCATCTGCTGCTGCTGGACATCTCCTCCACCCCGACCCCCCACTGCCCCGTGTTTGTCGGAGCTATGTTTGGCTCCTGAGCTGGTGGGCGACAGGTTCACTTCTGTATTTTTGGGACATGGGGGGGATCCAACAGGGGAGGGGGGCAGAATGATTCAAATGTTTGCATCCCCCTCAGCTGCCACTTGAAGAACGAGTCGATTAATGGGGAGAGGATCGGTTTCATTCTGCGGCTTCAAAGCAAAATCCACGTTCATTTTAGAAGACCAGAGCAGAACCAAACAGAACCAAACAGAAGCTCGTCTGGGCAGCGAGGGGGGAGTCCCGCTACAGGAACAAGAGACAAAAACAGATCTGAAAGTCTCTCTAAATATAAATTACTGGATAAACAACTTTGAGCTTTAATTAGAAACTTTGATTTCTGACGTTTGTTGCACATTTCAACATTTAGATCAGGGCCGGTCTGAGGTTGTGGGCGGCCCTGGGCAGAATTTTATTCTGAGCCCCCCCTGACCAACCCATCATGCACGCTTCATCATCTCTGACCCGTGTTGTCAATACGAGTCACAATGAGGACTTTTTCAATATGAAGTTAATGTTTTTAAACTCTTTGTGTTAAAAGCTTCAAAATGATACGAAAACGTTTGAAAACTTGATTTTTGTTGGGCTGGAGTGATGTCATCAGGAATTCCCAGCCCCGTCTTCAAAGAAGCTTCAAAATGAAAACATTATACAAAGGGATTTCCTGAGGCTCTTTGGCTGCTGGCAGAGAACAATGGTCCCAGGTCAACTGCTCCATTACGCTGTTTCAGTTACTGGTTTGGCCACATGGCAGGCTCGTTTTTACACAGATTTCCAGGGATGCACGATATTGGATTAATGGACGATATCCGATCCCAATAATTTTATATACTTTCCTTTGTCAGAACATATTCCTCTTATTTAGGCTTACTACAAAATATTGTGTAACAACTGAAAGAGCTGGTGACATATATTCAGTAACAGCCATATGATATGCATAGCTCTTTAACTTGTATTAAATGAAAAGTGTTAAATGTTATTTATTAGCATTAGTCACCTGCGACGCTGTCTCACTTGTGGAGGTTTGTTCCAGGTTCCTATAGCTGCAGTGATGGATCCTCTGCACTTGTGCATGAAGGACAGACTTTTTAAGATCAAAGTGTTTGTCTATCCATTGTGCCGTAAGGCTAATCATGCTAACGGGGCTAACACGACGTCCAAAGGTCTGTGGTAAAACTCACACGAGCGCTATCAGCTGTTAGCTTCTCAATGACGTCAGAAATGACGGCGTGGAACTCGGGTACGGTTACGTCGGAAAAATATCTCCAACTGCGGACGATGTAGCGAGGCTCAACGTAGTCCAGAAATCTTCGGAATCCAACATCCTCAACGAAAAAAACCTTCCACACCGCCAACATTTTGACTTCTTCCTCTCCACGGTGATCGGATCAGGTACGCGCACGTGACGTCATGTGCCGGTGCTGCGGGCGTCCTCGTCACGGTGTTGTCATACAAAAACAGCATCTTTTATATCAGTGAGTTATTTTAATGGAATGGCCGATGTCCGATATTTAACTAACGCTAACATTAGTTGATACAGATACCATGCTGATAATATCGTGCATCCCTATAAATTTTATCCATCATCTTTTACCCGCTTCTTCCATTTTGGGTCACGGGGGTCGCCGGTGCCCATGTCCAGCAATCGCTGTGCGCGGGGCGGGGTACACCCTATAAATTTAAATTATAACAAAAATTATAATTGTTTTAATTTTTGTAGTGGCGGCACAGTGGCTCAGTTGGTAGAACTGTTGCCTTTCAGCGAGAAGGTCGCTGGTTCAAATCCCAGCCCGGGACCATTTCTGGATGGAGTTTACATGTTCTTTCCGTGCATGTGTGGGTTTTCTGCAGGTGCTCCAGTTTCCTCCCACAGACTAAAAACATGCACGTTAGTCTGATTGGTAACTCTAAATCGTCTCTAGGTGAGAGTGAGAGCAGCGTTTACCATAAGGAGGGCGCCCCGCCCTGTCAACAGAACCAACTGTAACCAGTGAATGGTTGTCTCTATGTGTCCCTGTGATGGACTGGAGATCTGTCCAGGGTGTCCCCCGCCTCTCACAGTGACAGCTGGACATGGGCACCAGTGACCCGTGTGACCTGAAAAGGAAGAAGCGGGTCAAGACGACGGACTACTTGCAGCATGGGTCACGTTTATTTGTTCAGTTTTAAGGCACCGAGCCGACAATGAGATTAATGCTGGATTGTGTTTTCACTTGGAGTCTGCAGAGTCCGAGGTGTGTAGCTCTTCAAGGAGGTGGCGGGGGAGTCAAGACAGTGGATGCAAATCACCGCCCCAGGATCCTCAGAAGAAGAGATGATCAAACCTTGAGAATAACGCCGCCTCGTGTGAACCGTCAGCACTCCATCACCAGCTCCATCTGATCATGAAGTTCAGAAAACAACAAGCTGAGGGTCTGGCTTTAACATCAGCTACAATTCAAACAAAAACCTCGAGAGTTTCTCCTCCGTTCAGCAGATCAGGCTCTAAATGCTCCGCAGCTCGGCAGCGCCACGGACTGGAAACTTTCCAACGTTACAACCGAACGATGCCGTTCAGACGCTTCAGAGTTTTAAATGACTGAACAAGAGAAGACGGAAGTTCTAGCTTTAGAAGTAACGTTTAATCAAAGTCTTAATATTTTACAGGCGAATAACTCCCTCTTAAACACTGTTGGAGGAGATTTTTAGGAAATGACGTCTTTCAAAAATGGATGGCTTTTGTTTGTTCATTTAACCCTCCTGCTGCCCTGGGGTCAAAATAAGCCACAAGGCCCGAGTCTCTAAACTTTAGCCTTGTTGGTCATTTTGACCCCAAGGCAGCAGGAGGGTGGTTCAAGTTTAACGTGAATCAAAAATTCTAACGTAAACGTTTCATCTTCAGAGTTGACGTGCATCTTTCACCTATTCTGACGTGCATCATTTTTAACTGCAAAGAACGGAGGGTGAACACGTAACTGCTCATGTGTGTGCACTTGTTTGTTAGCAAAATATCTTATGAAGCACTGGATGGAGTATAAAGAAACGATTAAAGAGCGATCAATGGATCTACAACTTAATAACTTTTGGAATTAACCAGATTCAAGATGGCCGCCGCAGCTAATCAGCCTTAGCCAACATAAAAATTGTTATAACTCAGTTTTACAGATATTGAGCTAAACATGGTGTGGTAGTAGTTGAGAGTCATCCACACACACACTCCTTCAAAGAAGGGTGGTTACTGGTATTACTAAATACACATTTTACCACTTTACTTGATCTGAAGAAGAAAAACTTTAAACTTTTGAAGATCTGATTTATAGATTACCCCGAGTGTTTAGCAGTCAGCTGATCGTATTGTTCGTCTCCACAAAATAAATCAGGTTTCAAGCGAGCGAGCCGATAAGAACAGAGACCTGCACAAAGCGGTCCGTCAGATGAGATTTATTGAAGTTTAAATGGGTGCTCTGAATCCACACGGTACAGAACTCTGCTCAGTTCGTGAAACACTTCAGCCTCAGTTCAGAGATTTTCTCAAAAAAACAAAACAAAACAAAACAAAAACAAGTCACACTAGAAAACAGACAGATGCGTTTAGTCTGATATGTTTTTATATATGTATGAAAACTTTGAATGTTATCAAAAATAAGTGGGGCAGGAAGTGTTAAAGGTTGTGACGGTGCTGCGTTCAAATCAGTCAGGAATGCGGAGTGATATGGACAGAAAGTCGCGTCAAACAAAAAACAAACGAGACACGGCAAACAAGTTCAACGATGATGTTTTAAAGGGTTCAAGCTCAAACAACATAGAAAACATTTGAGGAATTATTGATGAAATGCTACAAAATATAAAATATCTCTATAAAGATTTGCCTTTTGTCATCGATCAATAAATGCACAGCAGTTTGATTCAACTCAGTCAAACACAAACTATGAAGTGAATGATTCAAGTCCTAACGAGTCGCCTTTTAATAAACTCTACAAATACAGCCGCAGCCTGAAAACACCGCCTGACTTCTGCTCCAGTCGTGCGCAGATGTTCCTCAAGTTTGTTCACCGCCCACAGGTCAAAATTAGTTCCAGCAACAGGCGAGTTAAGATTATTTTACTTCTCGGTGCTTAAAATCACGCACATCCAGAAAGAACAGCCCGACGCTGCGTTCATGCACCCTCACTAGAGTTCCTCTTCAAACGGGCCCGAGTTCAACCAACAGAACCTTACGGTGTTCCTTCAGCTCACATCCAGTCCACAGCCTGAACCGATCAGAGGAACCGTGCGACCCCGAGTGGTCGTGTGAGCGCCCAGTAACAAAACATGCTCACCCTGCTGCTGTCCTGGGCTCAAAATGATCAAACGGAGGCGGCAGGAGACGACCAATAAACTTTGGCTCTTTTATAACGAGCTGCAGCTGTGGTGACGTCTCCTCTGGATGTTCATGACTCTGAACGTCACGGTCTTGATATGATCACATGAAGGAGCCGAGCGTCTCCGTGTGAAGATGGACAGGGTCTAAGCTTCAGCAGCGTTTCACTTTTTAAAGTCAAACCAAATGACGCCGCGTTACTGAGGACCTGATGCGCTCGGAGATCATCAGCAGCACAAGCCGATAAAAACAAAACGTCTCCACCGTGGCAACAAATCACCGATGGAGGGTGTAGCTGATAAAACACAACGTGGCAGAAATAAGAAATCGAATGTTCATCACTGCAGCTGGAAACACGTTTAACCGTTTGGGATGTTGAGGTCTGAGCCGCCGACTTTCTAAGTTTGAATTTGGACTTCAGGGTCGTCCCAGCAGGATTTTCTGACTTCCGGTCCAAACACCATTAGCCTCACGTAGCTTTCAGCCACTCTTTTTGTCAGCCAAACTGACGGCAGCAGGAGGAACACGTTGCTCCGAGGTGTACACTAAAGGTAGTTTTTAAAGTAAACTGTATGAAACCGGGTTATTGTCAAATACTCCAAGAAGCAGCTCATCAGCTACGTCAGGAGGTGGTGAGCTTCACGGTCCTCCGGTAATCTCTGCGAGTTAATGAACCGCAGCACGGCGGCCCGGTCAGCTTTAAATCTGCTCACTGAGCAGCTTTAGCGGTGTGCTGTAAAAGAACTGCGTCGTTACATCGTGGAGTGAAGAGGTGGACCTTCTGACCAGAGCTGGTCGTCTCGTGTCAACCTTTAGGGTAGAAGCCACACAGCAGATTTAAAATAAAGACTGGAGCTCAACACGGTTCTGATGAACAATTCAAGCGTTGACCAAGTATTCTGACATTTTCTGCAGCCCCTGAGTGAAACGGGGGTCATGGCCCAGCGGTGGTCCGTGAGACACCAGGAGGGCTCACAGGTCATTTTCACACATCTAATTTAGTTAAACGTTAATCAAAGTCTCATTTTTCACTTTTTTTAATCATAAATTAAAAAAAACACACCAGTTAAACATAAATAAATTTAGTGTTGCTGTTCTCGACGTCGTTTAATTAGTTTAAAAGCAAAGTTTCAGCCTAAATCAGAGACGGTTAAAGCTCCAGCTACATGTTAGCTTAGCATAACGTCCCGCTAAAAGACTATTTCAGTAAATGATAAATTTACAAGTTGGCTCGGAGCTCAACTTTCAGACAGGATAAAGTCTTAAAGTGTTTCACAGAAAATTAATCTTAATCTTAGAAATGCTCTATTTATTTAATAAATGTGATCAATAATAAAGAACTGACTGCTACAAAAACAAAACAAAAAATAAACGAGTGAAGTTGTGGTCGTATGGAAGGAATGTTGCATTTATTTTACTTCTAAACTGTTTCAGCTGTTGAGAAGCTTAAGACCTTTTTGTTTCTATAACTGTCAAAACAGAGAAAAATAAAGATCTCATCATTTTAAGCTCTAAAACTAAAGAAGAAGAAGAAGAAGGTGGTTCTGGTCAAACTGTGATGTAAATGAACGAAGATGAACTAAGAGATGATCTGTTTCTGTAGTTGGGTGTGTTTTGCTGAAAGCTGGGACTGATGCAGAGCTGCGTCGTCTGGGCCCGAACAGATAAAAACCTGCCGGCAGCAAATAAGAAAACTGAAGAACTCGCTCTGCTGCAACTTTTTCTGTCTTCAGAACCACCGGTCCAAACAAGACCAGCATGAGCTGAAACCGAGGAGGAAGCTGGGATGACCTGCAGGTTTAAGAAAACTCCAGATGACTTCCGCTCTCGGGGCGTTCAGAGAAACTAAGACGTTAAAACGCAAACAAAAAGTGAGCTTGGGTTCTTTCCAGGAACAGTTTCCAGATCAGCGCTGGACAAGAGGCCCACACTCCCCTGGACTGCAGCCACAAGCAGACTAACGAGTCATCGTTCAGCAGCTGGGTGCCTTTACCCACAATCCTTCAGTCTGTTGGTAAACTGAGCGACCAGCAGACTCAGCACCTTCAACCGGCGTTTAAATCGTCTAACGTTGAGCTTAAACTGAATCGATGGACCCTCAGGACAAAGGATTTACAGCTAAGAGTTTTTCTAACACGACCCGTCAGTAAAACTCGTGGCTCGGCTCAGCTGCTACAACACGGCTCCGTTTAGTAGCTTATGTGAACGTACGGCAAGTAGCGTTACAAAATGTCTGATTATTACCAATCACTGAGCCAGACTGGATCAACTACCGCTACTTTTAGTTTCAGAGGCTCCGTAGCAACAACCAGAAGCCATCGGACGGTAAACGAACCACAGAAACCAGAACACTGAACGCTTCAACCAGTATCGTTTTACCGCATCAGATATATTTTGTTACCGAGAAGAATTCGACGGCTAAACTGACCACAAATTTGACGTTCTACACTTTAAAATATGTCAAAATAAGTTATAATTTACAAGGTTACTGGATTTTGAATTTGATACTAAAGCTTTATGCTGTAATCTGGAATGGATCACGATACGAAATGTCGTGTAAAAGTTTATAACAAACATAAAAATGAGGCGTTCAAGAGCTTTAAGACGAACTCATCAAGTGTTGACGCAGCTGCTGATGTTTACATTAACTCTCAAATACTCTATAAAAAGTGCCAAGAACACCAAGATCAAAAGAAATGGTAACGCCGCCGCCTTACTGTCGTCACCATGGCAACTACACACCTGTTTGTCACTCCCCGACTGCCCAGTTAATGAGGGGCAGACAGAAACAGACTGAAAAGTAAACCTCAAACTAAAAGTCATCGCTTCAAATCTTTAAACGGTGAGAGGAAGACGACTCTGATGGTCACACGCGTGACTCTTTATGTTTCTGCTCTGGTTCATGTTGCAGATATGACGAGTTACAGAGACCGTTACTAAAGCAGAGGCTGTGCAACTTCTACATTTTAGTGGGATTTAAAGAGAAAATCATGGAGCTGGATTTATACTCGGACGTTAAGAGATTTGCTCTCTGACATCTGGAAACCAAAATGATGTCGTTCTGTTCTTGTAGGACAGGGTCATTCATCTAACCTGCTCAGGGGCCGGACATCCAGAAGTTATAGTCCTTAAGTTTGTTTATGGTTTAAAATCTAGTTTTATTTAAAAATAAACCCATTGGTTGGCCAAACTGAGGTCACCTGTGGGCCTGATTTGGCCCCCGGGCCTAGCTATTCACCTAGCGGAACTCTAGGAACTCCGAGAGCCTGTTCTCAACACGGGGCGTAGGCAGAAGTTTTCTCTGTGGTTTGACTCAACTACTTTGTGTTTGAACAAAAATGTAAAGTGTTTAGTACGGCCGTGAGCTCCTCAGGAACCAACAGGTGGCCAGGCAGGGAATATTAGCTGCTATGAGCTAAAATTAGCTGCTGTGAGCTAGTATTAGCTGTTGTGAGCTAAAATTAGCTGCTGTGAGCTAAATTAGTTGCTGTGAGCTAGTGTTAGC